CCATAACTCAGCAATAGACAATGAAGCGTTTACCATGTGTTTTATAAAGAAATTTAAGAGGAAACGTTTGAATTTGTTAACCGATAGTAAGGAAAAGAGGTGAGTGTTGTTGTTGTTGTTGTCATCTCCGCGAGCTGTGCGGGCTATGGCGTGAGATCATTCTTTGCGAAGTTGTTTTTCTCTCAATACCAACTTTTCGGTAAATTAACAGTTTTCCGGCCCCTAAATATAGATTTTAGAATCATTTTAGAGTACACTTTCTCTCAGTTTCAGGATAAAAACGTAAGATTAACTGTGAGGAAAAAAAATTTATTCACGTAAACATTGACGCGTACTGCTTTGAGCGCGCCCTACAATAATAAAATTTTCAGTTAACTGCTGCATTGATCGCTTTGATAATGTTATAAAACAATTAGTTCATGCTGCAGCTGTGCGTATGTCGAGATATTGAGCACTTGGGAAGTTTGGAGAGCCTCTTTCGTGCTCTCCAAACTTCCCGCGTGCTCAGTATCTCGACATACGCACGCTGACGCATGAACTAATTGTTAATTATAAATTTTATAAAATGTGATCAATAACGAAATCACTAGAATACAAGACAGGCGCGCCTTTACTTAAGAATGACTAATTATGGACATTATGTACGAGTTTGTATAAAAAGAATCAGCCTTCTTTGACATGGAAGAAGGACACCCCATCAAATAGTTTCTTTTGAACGAGGAAAGTGATGTTGAGGTTGTAACATAATCCGGTAGCAAGTTCCATTCACTAGAAGCGAGGAAAGCAAAGGTACGTTTGCCGGAGTTAGTGTTGGCTTTCGGGAGTTTCAACTTCCTCCTAGCTCTGTGCGTATCGATGTTGTATACTTTACTGAAAGGTAATATCAAGTCAGTTATATAACTTGGCGAGAGACAATTTAAAGCCTTGAAGACAATAGTAGCATGCATAAATAAAATTCTATCACGAATTGGGAGCCATCCGAGTTTTAGAAATAAAGGTAGCGAGGGAGCTTTGGATTCCCGATGTACAGCAACGAGAAGGTCAAAAATGCTTTAGCGAAACAACTCTGGCTTTTTTCAACGGCGACAGCAACAAGAAAGTCCAAAAAGCTTTGGCAAAACAACTCTGCATGTTCATCAAGCTTTTTTTTGTCCTTTTCTTTTCTGTCCTTTGCACGACTCCAAAGGAAATTGTTAGTAAGGTTTCTTGTAGTACTTACGGCCCAATAATCCGATGAATTCTTGGTGTAGTAGGCCTTATTCATTCCCAGTTGTCCTGGAGCAAGCTTCAATAAAAAATGGGAGAAGTTAACACATATTCGATTGATTCACAATCCAGGTCAGTTTTAGAAGGATTTGTATGGAGTCATCAGAGCATAAAGTAGCTTATATCTCACCACCAATTTGCAGTAACCAGTTCGTACCGATTTTTTGGGTCCAAAATTCAACACTTTTTCCAGACTTATTTTCCAAAACAATTTCTTTTTCCAGACTCAAGGTTATCAAAAAGGTGACCAATGGAGGCCTTGAAAAACGCAGGAACCAAGTTTTTTCATGACAATGGAAGACTCTGTACGAACCCTGCAATAGTATTTAACGTCGTCTGTAATCTATTACTGAGGAGACACGTGACATGTATTCTTGTAAGTGATGGCCCTTTAAAAACCGCGACTTCTAACTGGGCTATTTGGGTGGCTATCTAACTGTAACCCGACAACGGTAGTTCTCACCTGTATTATATGTTTGCTGGAGTCATGAGGATCATAAAAAACTTTGACGTCTATGAACGGTTTGATAAACAGCTCACTGGTTATTTTGCCAATCCTCTGCGCGATGTTCATTGTCGACAAAGACGTCATGTTACCTGTCACGTTCCATCCTCCCATTCTGTCGATCAAATCTTTAAGTGGAGCGTCACCTCGCCTGTTGACAGAAGCTTCGTCCAAGCAAACATTGTAAAATTTCACGGTTTTCATCACGGCTTCATTCTGATAGGAAAGGAATGAATTTTTGCAAAAATAAAGTGTTTTTGAAAAAGAACCAGAAACAGTTTTTATAACTCAAAAACAAAACAAAATTTCCAGTGCGCGAACAGTTTCCAAATTTTTATCATTTGAACCCGTAATAGTTTAACGAATACTCAAACAATTTAACTTGAGGAGTGACACCAATAAATCTTAGAGGAAGTTTAATATTACGGATGGACATTCTTTGAATTGTTTTGAGGGAACAATATGTCCCAACCTCAAACCCAAGTCGGTGTTTTACCAACACCCCTTTCTTAGAGCACAATTCCTTGTAAGAATCTAAGGTTAGCTTTCTCATCTTAATTTACCTGGATTCGCTACGAAGAAGAATCGAACAGTTCAAAATTGTATTATTTTGTGTGAAACTTGAATAAGATGGCGTCGACAAGGTGGACAATTTAGCCAAAGAAATTCGCGGATATCCTGAAGCATCCGGATTCAGATTCAATCTCAGGGATTTGAGTGTGGATTCTTCAGATCCACAGCCCATTAAGATTTGGACTAGCTAACGAATAAAACCTTTCCCAACGCTCCCAGTCGCCGGGGACGTTCCGCTTGAGAAATGTGTGCCTTTTGGCTAAAACAGTTCGGGATGGTTATCAAATTTGATAACCACCTTACGTCACAACCTGGCGGCCGTAACAGAAATCTGAGATTTCCGTACCATGTTCGTCATTTTCGTCGTTTCGTCGTCATCACACGCCGTATGTACCTATAATTCTGTTGTACATTGCTCTTCACGTGTGCCCAAGATGGCGAACAACAAGCCGTGATGGAAGTAAAATTTTGGCCCGAGAAGTTTCAGGGCGGTTGAATTCACACGTTTGAATGAGGTATGTTTTTCAACTTTCCCTTCAAGTTTAGGTTAGTAAATGAGTTTTGCCACAGTCCAAAAAACTATAGAGCTGATCTTTAGCCTCTTTCCTTTCTGTGCAATAATTGTTTATCCTAATGCAAACTACAGAAAAAAAGTGCATGGGGTGGCCTTAGTGTACGTCTTGTTAAGTCGCTTACCGTCATTTTGTGTTTTCAAAGTTGTTGTCAATCGTTCTGTTTATTATCCGAACATTGTTGTCGTATTCACGATATCTTATCGCTGTACTATATTTTCACCGTAAATGTCGAAAAAGTCTTTCAGAGACTACTTTAATGTTGCTCAACTTGGAAATCATGGACCAAACCACGCCGAAGATAATCCACGTAAGCTCAAGCAAACTATTAGGTGCATGTGTGGCCATGGCGCGGTATCAACAAGAATTTTGCAGGAAAATTAATTTACTCCTAGCAGAGAGATGTACTATTTACAGCCTTGTTTACAATAGAACGTGACATCAAAAAAAGCTTTTAAAACGTTCTTCTCTGAGCTAGTGCTGGAATGTTTATTAGCACAAGGAGAGGCGTCGTTTTGTTCAGAAATTTGGAGTTTATAAAAGCATCGGTTGGAAGAATTGCGAATTGTCCATGTGCATGTTTGTCGGTAAGATTTGGTCCACGCTTAGTCCTTTGCTGACTTTTTGAGATTTTCCCTTATTTCGATCATGAGCACAGGAAAGGAAAAAACAATTATTGGCCGCATATATTTATTTTCAGCTGTTCTGAATATCTCTAAAGTTTGTCATTGAAGAAAATAGTATATCTGTCCGCTAGGAGTAAATTAATTTTCCTGCAAAATTCTTGTTGATACCGCGCCATGGCCACACATGCACCTAATAGTTTGCTTGAGCTTACGTGGACTATCTTCGGCGTGGTTTGGTCCATGATTTTACGGTAAGGGAACCTTTTTTACATTGATAGTTCATTTCACTGTGGTAAATTATTGCCTGATGAGATCCAAATATAATAAAACCGAACTAGTTCTTTGTCAAACGAGAGTGCGCTATCATCGACTCTCATTCTCCGTTCAAGGACACGACCCCACAAGCTTTGAGCTTTAAACCATATCGTGTTTAAATAAAGGATATGTATGTATGTATAGGTTTGACTAGGACATAATTATACTCGAATCTGTTGTTCCTTGCCCTGCATCGATCATTTTCCATTTGGCAGTTTTAAAATGCTTCTCTTTTATAACTGTCTTTTATTAACCGGCTGGTCGTCCTCCTAAAGGTTTTGTGCTTGCTAAAGGGATTTATTTAGATGTAAGCTAAGGAACACAAGAGGAAAATAGCCAACCTAGAGTGTAGATTCTGTGGAAGTAGCAGATTACAATTAAAAAACTCTATCAATATTTCTTTTGCACAGATTGTTGGAACAGTGACAAGTGCCCCTGAAAACCTGGGAGCAGCGATATCTGTCAAGAAAGCAAAACGCTAAGAACAAAAATCATTGCTGACAATCACAAGTTCTATTCGATAAATACTCAGTCTGGTTCGGTCGTCCGACGCCATGTTGAACTTAAAACTTTTGCCACAGCAACATGTCACGTAATAAAGGATTAAATTAACTGCAAAAACCGTGGACGAAGATCCTGCTAGTTGTAAACGTTGGATCTCTAGAGAAGAGATTGGTTATTGTTTGGTTTTGGTCCGGGTTATCAAATTTGATAGCCATCCCGGACTGTAAAACAATCCATATTGATGACATAAATCCTCAGTGCTTGGTACATGTACATTTGATCTCTATGTGACCTTTCGTCTTTTGTCTGTCATTCGCAAACAATATAGTGGTGAAACACTATAACTACTGCATCAACAAATCAGAGCTCCTGACCAGAATCTAGACAGACTTAAATCAGCAGTATGTAATTTTTCAGGTTAACCCATTAGTGGAGTATGATTAATCGAATTCTCGATTAATCGCGATTATGACCGTTCGGTTCGATTCACGATTCTTTGCTTCCACATTTCGATTTTGCTTCGATTTTTGCATACCTTTCCTCAGTGAGTTATTATATTGTAAAATCAGAATCCAGAACTCTTTAATATGTGCGTTTTTGATTGACGATAAAAGACGATAGCAGTTCGTGCACCATTTTGTGTTGCCTGGTAAAAATGCTGCCCTTCAACCACCCCTTGAGAATTTCCATATAAGGCAAACCATCCTTGTCAGGTTCTCAAACACGGCGACGAACCAAGCGACTGTTAAGCCTCCTGTCGGCCTGTTACTATTCTCAAATTGAGGGTTTAGGGTTACATGTTCTTAACATTACACGTTATTTTATAAGAATTAAGAAACATTTACATAATCGAATCGAAATAATCGAAATCGAAAGACAATAATCGAAATCGAATTGAATCGCAAGGAATATGAATCGTTACACCCATATAACCCATTGGTGACGGCCGGCGAGTAGCGAAAAAACTGCCTTTTTTGGACTAGTTTTCGACTAATTAGCATAAGAATGGCTAAAATGAGTTTTGCAAGAAAAAAGGCATACTTTCCGACCAATCTGACGCAATTAAACAGCATTTTTGTTTTTCACGCGTGCGCAAAAGCCATTTCCTTTTTGCGAATCTATTTCGATCTTTCTCTCTCGCTCACTTTTTTTTCCTTTGTCTTTCTTCTATATTAACGGTTTTGTTGCCCACTTTATCGTCTTTCTTTTGCAGGGAATTCTGGCTGGCTAACTTTTTAGGCAAGGGACAAATTTAATTTTCAAAGAGTAGTATGTTAAGAGCGAAATCGGCAGTGGATTTTTCCCTCAAATGTTACCTGTGAGTCTAACTCTGTCAGGATTGGCCAGAATATCTAAAACGAGGTATCGCTGGAAAGATATGTCTTTGTTGACGTTGTTGCTTACCAATTTATTAACCTAAACTGAAAGTTAAATGGGTCTAGGAAGGAAAATATGCATGGTTTCATATGGAAAAAAAAACGACTAACACAGTCGTCCAAGAGTTAAAGACGGAGAGCGATGAAAGACGAATGTATACTCAGGCTAGACTCCGACGGCGCTACAGGTGGGGCATTTGCCCACCAACTTTCAACTTTGAGACAAGATGGCGGCTGCGAAAAAGGGAAGAATTCAGCAGAAACTGGACAGCTTCTTTAGCAAGAGCCACGAAGAGAAAGTATCAAAGTAAGACTATTTCTAAGATTTATCTGAGCGGTTCTACCCGTAATTCTGTGTTTCAAAATTGCGGAAAGATCCCGTCCGTTGACATCTTAGAGTGGTATTCGCTGCTGCCACAGCTACAAACGCTCAGAGCGCAGCTTGGCACAGAGACAGAAACCTCCTCAGTGCAGCTGTTAATTATTTATCAGAAGTTTTTCTTCCTGTTGTAGCTGCCACGAATGCTGTGAGTGAGCGCTCGGCCTCTGCCCTTAGAAGGCTCAAGACGTATCTTCGAACAACTATGTCGCAAGAAAGATTGAATCTCTGCATGATTCTCCACGTTTACAAGAAAATGACTGGCAAATTGAACATGGCAGATATTGAAAATCAGTTTGTTTCAGCAGGCGCGGATCCACACCGATTTCCACTGTTTTATAGAAATCGGTCAGATTTTTCATTATAAATATATTTTTACTTGAACAAAAATCTTTTCCAAGTTGAAATCTGTTAAATAGTTTTGGCAGACAGTAAATATCCTGTCTGAATGACTCAAAAGCCGTTTGGGAAAAGAAATCAAAATAATTTTTGGCGGACCCCCCAAGAAGCTTGTTTTTGGGGGCGCCCGTTTAGGAAATCGATCAGCATTCAGTTTATGCTAGTTCTGCGGCTGCTCAGCATCAAGTGACAACTCTCTAAACCATGTGTTGAACGCTAAAATAAACTGACAATTGTTAATTTTCTACGAAAGTATTCAAGTTTGATAAGTTTTTTTGCTAAGCTTGAAAAGGTCATTAAATTTTTCTTTCTTTGTTGACCACAATGAAATCCTGGTTTTTCCTAAATTTTAGCAATCAGATTGCACCAGATTACATCCTAGAGTACTCATCATCAAAATTTCCAGGGGGAACATGCCCCCGTACCCCCTTAGTTTCTCGTGCCTTCGGCACTCGCCATTTCCGCTATCGCGCCAATATTACACATATTCCCATCTGCCAGTTATGCCCCAACAAGGAAAAAATTCCTGGCGCCGCCCCTGCTAGATGCGGTTTTCCCAAAAAGAACGCTCCCCTACAAGGCATAGAAATGAAATTTCACAGTGCACAAATGACAAGAAATTCCTCACATCTGAATAATTCTTCTCGGCGTTGGCAAGCGCTTCCTTCAATACATTGAAGCTCTTTTCTCTGATGATTGAAAAGCCAGTGACCGAGGTCTCCCCAGGCTCCAAAGCATTCTCATCCTCCCAGCCACCACATGCGTATTCGTAAAAATCAGTGCAAGGGTCAGCGCTCTGGTTGAGCTGCTTTAGGGTGTCTGGAGGAAGAGACAAATAAAAGAATTGCAGCAAGCGAGCATAAGCTACTCAGACTGTGGTGTCAGGAGCCGATTATTAATCGGCTCCTGCTGGCGTGCATGATTCGCTCATGGTCCAAGGAAGCTACACACACTTAGCTTCAGAAGTAAAAATGAAGGGACAAAGGAGGTTCCCCCCTGGGAAAGCATGCTCTTTACCCCCTAACAAATGATACTCGCGTCATCTAGAAAATGGGGAAAAACTTTACAAGTTTTGGCGTTTGAAATTTGTTCGATTCGTAGACTTTTTCTTGGGTTGCGGGGGAAGAGAGGGGTTACAAATTTATGCATTAGTCAATTTCACCTGCGACAATGCCCCTATAGCTCCAGGGTAGCTCCTGGGGTTGGCAAATGTGCGGCCGAGAACGACCGCCGTCCAAGCTCTCTTGCGCCGCGCGGCTTATTCACCTTGCCCAGCCCCAAACAGACTTCGAACAACGCGATTTCGGCATTAGGCTTGTCCTCTTCTCCAAAAAAGGGAAAGATAATAGACTCAAATGAAACAAGAAAACATGAAGAACACGAAGTCATGTTCTCTTGAACAGAACTTGAAAATAATGAACCTTACAGACTAGTGATCGAACAATTCATGACTCAGGTAAGAGAGTTTTCTGATTAGGGCGTGTTTAAAAGCGCGAAATGGCTAAATGACGAAATGACTTTCCTTAACTGTAAAACAAAAGACTCGCTCTTTTTGTCGTGTCAGGAGGATTGGCTCCTGGTTTTGTCCAGTTGTTATTTCTTTGCCTCCTACTAATACCCTGTTTATTTGTAGAACCGTTAGCAGTTTTTTTTTTGACTTTTTTTAAGTTAAGCTATATTTTTGTGATTGGAAACTGTGTGGGGGACAGCAATGAAAAAAGAGGCCCTGCCAGGGTAAATTCCGACAAGCGACATGACCCAAAAAGTAGCGACAAAGCGTAAAATGAAATCGCGACAAGAGACAACCTCCCTGGGATATTTCGACAGTGATGGCAAAGCCGTGAACACCCGGGGGGATACTCCCCTATATAAGCTATATAGGTATGTGCCGCCCCATCGGGTAGAGTTCTTGCGCCGTTTGGGTCTGAAAACGGGTACACACTTTGCCCATTTTGGTCTGGAATCGGGTATGGTTTGTGAGGGAACTACTGGAGTGTATGAACGTCTTTATCGTTTCTATTCAAGATGAGTAAGAAAGCAAGAAGAATATGCCAATTCGAAATGGATTGAAGAATTTACAGTTTGTTTGCGATCTAATCTAAGTAATGATAACATAATTTCTGCCTAAAGGCCAGGTCTGAAAACGGGTATGAATTTTAGAAGTCTGGTCTGAAAACGAGTGCGGAAAATTACATTTTTTGGTCTGAAAGCGGGTCAGGATTTGGATAACCGGGCGGCACACCCCCACCAAGGATTCCCAGGAGTACCCCCCCGGCCGAGAATAAGCGACAAAGAACGGTGGTTTGGCTAATTTATCAACAGTCTGAATGCCAAGAAGAAGAATTTTTCGTCAATTTTTTTTGCGCTTCCGAGAACGTCTCTTATTTCATCTTGTCAGTGAGGTTCAGTGGACCCTCCTTGGCGCCGGAGGGTCGCGGTATAAGCGAGCCTCCACAACTCCTGGGAGACCATTTATTTACCGCGCACAGCCTACCCCTCACATTTGAGGATTATTGGCTGGTGTTAGGTCAGTGGCGATGTATCGGTGTTCGATACGCGAAATGGTAACTGAAAAATTGCAGAACTGTCCGTAATGGTTTCTACACAACGCATTGCTATCCCTCTTTTCTAAAATCCCGACGAAGACAAAGTATTTTCGTTCAATTTCGGACAGCGACGTGAAGCATTTATAACACCTAGACGAGACGTTTTAAAATTCAGACGAGCGACATGGCCGAGTCTCAAATAACCCCCCCGGGGGGGGATACTGCCATATATGGACTATATAGGTATGAGCCGCTTTGAAGGGTATGGTTTTCAAGCAGTTTACTCTAGGATAGGGTATATACGTCAGAGCATTTGGGTCTAGAATAGGGTATCATTTTTCAAGAAACTGATCAGTTAGTTGAAGATTTTATCTAGACTAGGGAAACAGCTACTCTTGGATAGGGGGGATTTGGAGAGTTTACTCTAGTATAGGGTAGCAAAATTCAGCTGAACTAGCTCTGGTTAAGGGTTCAAGGGTCCCAGCGGCACAGCCCCACCCAGAAATTCCTAAAGTAACCCCCCCCCCGAAATAACCAAACCTTCTTATAAAAGCTGTAAAATGCATCTAAAATTGTCGGGGAAAATAATACAGCGGAAACTCTTGCTCCCCCGGGAATTTTTATGGATTTTAACCCCGGACGCCCTAAAGTCTCCTTTCCTGGGTTTCTGGATATTGGCCAGTCCCTCTCATGAAGCCTTGCAAATCGGCGGATCATTTCATCAAGGTCAGTTTCCATAATGTAGTGGATATGAGGCAAGGCGAGTCCAACATTCCAGATTTCAACTTGGAAAGCTTTTTTATTATTAAAAATATATTTATTATGAAAAATCCAACCGATTTCGGTAAAACGGTTGAAGCCGATTTGGATCCGTGCCTGCCCAATTGTCCTCTTGATGAATCTCCAACCACTAGCCAATGTCAGGTTGAATGTTGGCATGTGATTGTGGAAGTAGAACTTTTCTATTATGAACTTCGGAAAGTCGAAAAGCTGGAAAACAACTGTTTGAGACTCTAATGACAGCAATAAAACTGGGATGGTATCCGGGGAGGTACTGTAGGAATTTCTGGGTGGGGATGTGCCGCTGGGACCCTGGAACCCTTAACCTATACCAGAGCTAGTTCAGCTGAATTTTGCTACCCTGTACTAGAGTAAACTCCCCATATTCCCCCTATCCTAGAGTAGCTGTTTCCCTAGTCTAGATAAAATCTTCAAAAACTGATCAGTTTCCTGAAAAATGATACCCTATACGAGACCCAAACGCTCTGATTTATATACCCTATCCTAGAGTAAACTGCTTGAAAACCATACCCGTCACAGCGGCACATACCTATATAGCCCATATATGGCATTCCCCCCCCCCCCCACCGCCCGGGGATGGGATTCGCACTCTCGCGGGATTTAATTCATTTTATTTAGGTTTTTCCGGAGCAGCATCCCGCCGAGTTCCGGTTAGCTTTCGCGTTTGGGTCAATGTTAGATAGGATATCGTTGTGTGTTGACATTAAATAACATCGACCGAATAATAATGGCCTGGAGGAAATACGTTACGTGTGGACAGGACCTTAGGAAGTGCTAAAAGTCATGCCAGAAAGCCGGCCGGGCAGAAGTGCTTTCTTTCAAAAGGCATAATAATAGCGCTTTATGAGCTGCAGCTTCGCCGATCATCAATATTTACTTTATAATTATCAACCAATCAGTAATCGTAAATTCTTGAAGAAATTAATTAGGCTAGTATTTAAATGTTCTCAAAACATAGCCAAGAAAAGCTTTAACGATTTTCAAGTTTTGATAGAGATGGCTGGCAGTCATCGAAACTGTCAGCATCATTAAGACTTTTCTTGGCTATGTTTTGAGAACATTTGAATAGAAATCAGTAATAGTAGTAATCGTGTTTCACTGTGCTTGATGATGTTATCCTTTCGTGCCAAGCTGCAGAAAAGTAGCGATGGGAAACCGGAAATGTGCCTGTTGTCGTAATAAAATGTTAATTTTAGAGGTTGTATCTTGCGCGTGCAATTTTTGAGTGCGTTTTTTTTTTTTTTGTCTGAATTTGGGATAGTGACCTGCTCAAGGAAGAATAATTTCTTCCGAAAAGTAAATTAACATATTTTTTGCTATTAACTTCATACAACATGTTTACCGCGTGACTTTCTTGGGTTCAATATTACCAGGATGATCGAGAGGCACTAAAAACCCTAATATCAATTCATGAAAGTAGTACGCGAAAAAAAAGTGTGGTATTATGCTTTTAGCCCAGGGAAAATACCGCAAAATACAGAGTATCTTAGCAGTAAGCTTTAAATAAACAAACCAGACAACTTCAGTAAATTCCTTCTAAGATGAGCAGGTGATAGTAAAATAGTTCTGCATGTCATCGACCAAAACATTCACGAAAATGCTTTTTATGAAACAAAATAACATGGCCGACAAACGGATAACATGCGCTTCTAGAAAATTGGTACTGCAGTTATACTATCTTCAATAAACACGAAAGCGGCGCGATTCTGTATTTTGAAAAGCGGTTGTGTGTAATGCATGATTTACGACTATGAAACGAATTTCTCTGCTTCGCTGAGTGCTCTGATTTAATACTATCAAATTAAACTTGATCAACTCACCTAACGAGGTCTCCAAACACGCTTTTGTTCCGCAATATTTTTGCCCGGAAACGGGAGACTTGGGTGAAGTTTCTGTCGATTTCGATTTTTCCAAGGCGAAAAGCGTGATAAACACAACAGACAACACGAGGAAGACGAATGTTGCAACCGCCAATATAATGATCCAACAAACCGGCCTCCCTCGTCGTTTGCTTTTGAACTCTACTGTCTCCTCTTCAAATCGTTTCATTCTGCTCTGAATACTTTGGCAGAGTGGCTGCACAACACAATGCCTGAAACAATAATATTGGATTACTTATTTATTCTGTAACCTTGACTCAGACCTTGACTTGAGCGCGACAGCTCGTCGTCACGCAATTGTGTCAAGTAACGCAACTGTGTGAATCACGGGTCACCACATGACGCTCTTAAATGATGGGCGAATTTTAAAAAACAGTCAAATTGTCCGTTTAAACAGAGTGTCCCTACTAAGTGGCTGTCTGTAAAGCGGGGTTCGACTGTATACGGATGAAACTACGACATATTTCTGAATAAAGGCAATTAAAACACAAAATTTAATTTTCATTTCACTTAAGCCTGAGGTTCACCTGTTTCACCCTTAATTCAATACAATTTGATTTATTGGCATATGGCACTGCTGATTACAATGTTGGTTACATTTCAACTCAAAGAGAAGGTAAAAACAACATGAATAGCTAACAATGATATTAAACTTACATAAAATAATTCCTCGCGAAGCGTGGACTTCGTCCTCGAGATGAGAGTTTATCATCTCGTCGCGAGCAAATACATATGAGGGGGGCATTGGGATTTTCGGTTTTGCGGTTTTGGCTATTTTTTAGATCGGTTTTTCGGTTTTTGTTGCAAAAGACTTCGGTTTTTCGGTTTTAGTGGTCATTGCGGTTTGCGGATTTTTCTTTTTTTAGCATCTGGTTTTCGGTTTTCGTGAAAAATACTAGCGGTTTTTCGGTGACTACAAAGCGCTTGATCTTTTAAGCTGTATGACTTTAGACGTTGAAAATTGCCATGCCACTGTTCATTCCAAGAAAGTGAACGTGTCTAAGCTCGAATATGCTAGGTCGTTTGGTGCAACAATGAAGGAGAGCGTCAAACGTGTTACAAGCTGGGCTGCGTACTATCACACCAGTCGACGGTCCTGGTACCCAAAGCACGACACAACGGTGTCTCTTCATAACGTACCGTTGATGATGCCTCTGTCCGTTGTCAGCCTTCCTGCAAATGACTCCCGGGGGGGTACTGCCATATATGGGCTATATAGGTATGTGCCGCTGTGAAGGGTATGGTTTTCAAGCAGTTTACTCTAGGATAGGGTATATAAATCAGAGCGTTTGGCTCTAGAATAGGGTATCATTTTTCAGGAAACTGATCAGTTGGTTGAAGATTTTATCTAGACTAGGTACACAGCTACTCTAGGATAGGGGGATTTGGGGAGTTTACTCTAGTATAGGGTAGCAAAATTCAGCTGAACTAGCTCTGATAAAGGTTAAGGGTTCCAGGCTCCCAGCGGCACATCCCCACCCAGAAATTCCTAAAGTGCCCCCCCCGGGAAATGACTGTGACCTCTTACGCAACTGGGCCTCAGCATATGGTGCTGCAGTAAAACAAAGGACAGTGCGGCAGGAAACTACAATGGCTAAGCACGGAACATTGCCAGAGTATCTTTATCAACGCCATCTCGAAGTTGGTGATAAGGTTAATCTGAACTTCGGAGTCGATGAAGATGAAGGACCCCATGAAGATCTGAACGAGCGTGAAGGGAGTGAGGAAGCTAGTGTCTCTAGCGAAGGCCAGCAAGAATTTGATGAAAGTAGTGACGAAGAAGTTGAAGTCAGTGCAGATGACAACAATTCTCAGGGCCAGCAAGATGAATTAGGGGCATCGACGAATTTTATCTTTGGTGCAGGGTCGCGATATGGAAGGGCAGTGAGGTTCAATAATCGACTGCTGTTTTGAGTATCTGTTTATTACCACATTAAACCTTAGAGCAAGTTCCTGTTGCCATGTAAAACTGAAAAGGAACTAATTGTACCGGTTAGCTTCCTCAGTGTCGACTCAGCTCAGTGCAATCGCATGTTAGACAATCGAGTCTCCAAACTTTCAGGTGTTAGTTATCAAATGGAAATGTTCGATTAGACATTTTCGATTGAAGTTTCCAGAGCTATAGCTTTTTGCGACTGCAAAATTTCAATTCTAAAGAGGACTTGTGTTCAAATTATCCTAAGTTAACTAGGCTCCATAACTAGCAGCTTTTCGGAAATTGAGCCGCAAAGTCTGGGCTCGAGAAAGCGGCAGAAACAAAGCCTATGATTTAAGCAGACACAAAAAGATACGAAGGGTTCAGACAAAGTCCATGACATTCACAAATACTTTCGTGAAATTAGTGTTAGTTTAGTTTGCTCTGTATGCCCCACTTGTCACCATTGTATCGGTTTTTGACGGTTTTGTATGCGGTTTTCGGTTTTGCCCGAATTTTTTTTGCGGTTTTTCGGTTTTTGATGATTTTTTTCTTCGGTTTTGCGGTTTCTAATATACCCCAATGCCCCCCTCACATATCAATAGGCGATGAAACAAGCACTCCGTATGATGCCGGAGGAGGACTGGCACGAGGGCTCTTTCCACGCTTCCGGCTGCCGGCGAAATTTTCCTTTTGCAAACCGGAAATCCTATTTTCTTTCTTTAATTGCAGTCTACAGTGTGAAATAAAGTTAATTCGTTTCATAACACAATGATAAACGGTTTCATATGTTTATGTCTGTATGTGTAAAGTCAAACTTTACGCATACAGACATAACGCTGCAAACAAATCTTTGATTGAAAATTGTGTCAGCGAGTTCAATAACTGGATGGTATCGTCCAAGACCTCCCTTGGAGTCCCGGCCCGGCCCGATACGACTGTTGTTTTGATACCTTCAAATCGTTGTCTTGTTGTCGTTTTCGATCAGTGTTTCACTGAGTTCAAGATCATTTACTAAAAGCCATTTGCAAGTAGTGCGCAAATATCATCTCAGGAACATTGCCAAAATTATAAAGTATCTCACTGGGGCAGCTCACTGGGGATAGTGCTAAAAGTGTGGTATACGCTTTAGTCACGTCAAAATAACTGTAATGTTCTTTTATATGGATTTCAGCAGCAGCCACTTTTCAGTTTACAATCAGATTAAAAGTAAGCGGCTGTCGTTGTAACGCGCACCAGAAAATTCGATCACATTACCGTTTGTGTTGATAAAGTAGAGCTCCAATGGTTACCAGTCCCAGTACCGTATAACTTATGGGCTCCTGATAACGTATAAAATTCTTCTGCTAGTTTTAAAATCCCTTGATGGCGCAGCACCTGATTGTATCTCTGACTCGCTTCAGTATGAAGCACAATCACGAATGTTGCGGTCATGATCGCAGAGACTTTTGGATACCCCGACAGCTCGATCGGGGTAAGTAGGGTTAAGTACCTGTTCTCAGACCTGTTCTGTTAATGACTCCTAAAACTCGATTGTATTTAGAAAGTAATTCCATTGATATACGGTCTGCGCTGGAACCTTCAAGCAAAACCTACAAAAGCTGCAACTGGTGCAAAACTTTGCCGCTCGTCTTGTGATTAACACCAAGAAGTTTGATCATGTTATTCCAGTATTACGGAAATTACAGTGGCCCCAAGTCAAGAGTAAGCAGGATGTACGGGATGTCACACTTTGGGATAAGATTATTTTGTATAAGATTATCTGATTATCTGATTATCTATCCAGTAAGATCATCAAAAGGTCGGATGGACATAGTTAATAGAGATCAGTTGCAATGTTATCTCCCCTCTGTAGAACTGCTACTGTTCCGTGTTCCTTTTTTTATCGTTCAATAAATATCGCTTTGCTAATAAACTCTAGCAACAGCGAACCGTTCAGTAATTTTAAAAACAATATTAGGGGTGAACTATTTAGCATATAAGTTGTAATGAATGTAGTCTGAATTTCAGACGATTACTTCTAGTCGTTTTCTCGTCTCACTTACTGAGGGAGTAAAAACCACTCGAAGTAATCGTCAGAATCGTCTGAAATTCAGGCTATACCGAATGACCTTAGCTTAGTTTTTTACGATGCTTGTAACTTAAGGTAATTATTATTCCTTTAATTTGTAACTTATCTCAGAAAAGCCCCTTAGGGAGATATAATAAAGTTATTGTATTGTATTATATCGTATTGTATTGTATTGTATTGTATTGTATTGTATTGTATTGTATTGTATTGTATTGTATTGTATTGTATTGTATTGTATTGTATTGTGTTGTATTGTATTGTATTGTACTACTGTGACTTAAGCTCGCAACTAAGGTTTTTGCACAAAAGACATTTATTATAAGTATTTAAAAAGCCTTAATCATATACCGAAAAGTTTCTAGCCGTATGACAGGCACGTTAAATTTTCTACTTGCCGTTTTCATAGCGCTTAAGCTTGAGGCCTTGAAGTACTCCTTATGGAGGGTAACTAATTTCGCGATTTCGGCGAGACAGTATTTCGCAGGGTTATATTTTCGCGATTTTAACCGGCAAATATGAAAAAAAGGCATTAAATTAGGCGATTTAAGTGTTCTCAACTTCTTTTCATGTTTCGAAACTTCTCAACTTTTTAAAATTTCTAGATAAACTGGAACAAGTAATTTGTGAAATCGTTGCAAATTAACGTTATTTCGCAACTGAAGATACAAAATGGAACTTACCAGAACTTATCAGTACAGCCAATTAACAATTTGTATAGTTGTCGATAGGAGTCTTGTATATGTTGATGATACTACATGACAATATTATTTTCCTTGTTTAAATTTTCTCTGTGAGTATTAACAGGGTCACTGATTAAATTTCACATGCTCAAATTTCGCGAATTTTTTACAATCGCCAAAAAACGCGAAATTTAAGACCCTCGAAATTAAGTACTAATATGTAACTCAATTTCTTAAACAAAAGGGTCTATGAAACTGTGAAAGGAGTCATTTCAAAAGTAGCATTGCCAAGCACCGTTTAAAGACGAAACATCAAATTGACTGGGACTCTGCGAGATGTATAACGTATTCTACAGACTACTTTCAACGTCTTACTTTAGAAAGCTGGTTTACTAACTTAGACCAAACGCCACTGAATCGTTGTCAACAGTTACCAGCGCCGTAAAAAGGACTTATTGACGAGATCAAGCAAAACTAACTACGAGAGGACGACTGGAGAACCGACAATTTGACTAACAATAGACGACTGTTTAACTGTGACAATAGACGGATCGAAAAGTACCAATTACTGATTACGAGTCTTCATACCCAATAACATCACAGCTTAACTGACGGACGACCAATAAAATCGCGACTTAATTGACCAATCAGATCAATAACCAGAGTATAATACCATCAACTGACGTGATACAACTCACTTTGACTCTGAAGATGACTACCGCACAGGTTGTCGAAACGTCAGTCACTGTCAACAACAACAGTCCTATTCAGGACTACGTTCACCCGGACGATCAAACTCAACCTACTTTTGAAAAGGATCTATATTAATACTAAGAGATAGTCAATTGTTTTCCAGAAGCGTTTTTTACTTTCGAGCATCTGAATGAGCTCCAGTTTCGAACCGAGCGATTTCCACCTTCATGTTACCCAGTGCTGCTTGTAAGATAAGTAAGGTTAGGCATCTGTTCTCTAGACCTATTCTGTTATTGATCGGAATTCGCTTCCATTTAGTAAGTTATTCTATTGTTCTACGGTCTGGGCTTCAAGTAAAACCTACAAAAGCCATGTAATCTGGCTTATACTACATAAATAGAAGAAAAACTGAAAGCAAGGGGCACACATACACCAATTCACGGCCTGGCCAGTACCTCACGCATGCGCACAGCCATATCACCCGGGCAGTGTTCAGCCATGAACAGCTGTTTTGCCCTTGTATGAATGTGTTGATCGAGCGTAGCGGGCCATGTATGGGAGTATCCTGATAGTCAGTAGCTGTTTTGATCGCGGCCCGCTATATTTTGACCAACAAGTAGCCTCACATTTTAACATAAAGTAACTTTCAACGTTTTTTTTTTTTTTTTTTTTTTTTTGGCTTTCTTCCCAACTGACTTGGGAGGCAAAACCGCAGATGCCTATCCCATGGAATGGCGCGCGCACGTTACAAATAACATCTTTATGACGTTATACAAGACTAGCAACGCATCGCACGGAGGGGAAATTTTCTATCATGTCGGATATATCACTCCAGGTCACGTTGCAGTTTTCGGAAGAGCTACTTTGTCGGCCCCCGGAGCAAAGAAACGACGAGGATATACAAAAAGTCTTGTCGTGGGTACGACACAAGAGTTCTTTGTTCAAGAATCTAGAGGATGGTAAGTAGTGAAACCTGAATGGCTATCGTGGCTTGATTTATCAATGCGCAAAAAAGGCAAACAGTTGTAAAGTTGCCTGAGCGTCTGACGACAGTCGACAAACGATCGAAGGAATCATTTTTATAACTTCGAGTGCTGCTCAGTCGAAGTTATCATTGCATAATATTATGGATAAACTCACCCTTAGCCGGAATAGAAATGAGTTGAGGCGAGGAACTTCAGAACTATGGAGTTGTGATATACCACGTGTTATGATGGCTTCTTTTCGGACAGTTTGTTTTCAAAATGTGTACGCCAAAGAAAACAAATTTTGGCGGAAATGTGTAACTGTTCGATGGTCAGTTGCTTTCTCTCAGTATTGGAAATAGACTCAGGGACCTACTGGAAGACCTCAGAACTTGAGATTTCCGGTTATTAAATCTTCTTATTTATTCTTTTACAAAATTTTGCGACACATATGAACCGTTAATAATTGCTCACGCCTTTATTTCTCGACAGATATTTTAGCGTACGTTATCAAGCATGTAGAGTTTATGAAAGTCAAGAAGGATCACGTGATTGTACGGCAAGGAGACAAAGGCAACTGGTATTTAAAAATGACCTTTGTTCATGATCAGAATACAACTCGACCCACCCCCCACCCCCCTCACAAAAAAATTATAGCGAGAGGCCTTCAAGTTAATTTCACGAAAATCTTATTCCATACACCCAAAAAGGAAAGAACCGTAATACACCATTTTCTTGAGAATATTGGTAATTAAAATTGAGCTGAAGGATACCGATCGATTACCCGATTCAAAAGACGAGCTGTGTAACATTGTCAAAACCCCCTTGCCGACATTTGTCATAGCTCTTGTATTGACGGTTATGCCAGCCCTACACTATACCGGATGGCTCTTGCCTTCGCAGGAAGATCATGGGGGCTGTTGTTCACCCAAGAACACTGCATCGGAGCGGTTTTGTAACGAAGCGAACCCTCGACGAGCCGATCGTGAAGGAGGATTGTCACCTACACGTTCTTTTTTTTCTTTTATAAGAAGGTTGTTTTTCCGACCCAGGGTGAATATTCTTAATTTTCTGCCAATTTTAGGCTGAAAATATTTTTGTTATTATTCTTAAATCATAGCTTATGACATTTCCGTTTTAGTTGGGGTATCAGTTATAGTTTTGAGTGCATGTTTCTTTATGCATATATGAAATATAAGTGAAAAACATATAATTGTATTGTATTTACTGATTTTCAACACACAAAACTATATCCTTTTGAAAATCTCAGCCTCGGGTTCATTCTTAAAATAATCTTAAAATTTCAAAAATTTCAGCCTCGATATTCTTTTAAAATGTATTCTTATATATATAAAAAGAGTGTATCGGAGAAGTTTCTGTGCCACTTTTGTGGCAGTGTGAACAAATGTTCACACCAGGCAGGTCGGAGTATTTTTCATGTCGACATGACAAAATATCCGGTATATACAGATATAGATACACATATGGTCCAAACGTTACTTATATATAGGTCTCTCAATATTCTAGGCCTCCTTGTATCTAAAAATGGCCGAATATGATTTCATATTATTCTTCAGGGGAAAGCACTAGAAACTGGCAAGTCGTCACACGGAGGGAGGAACGGGGGATGGAATGGGCATCCACCAACTAACCGCCATGTTCTAAACGAATAAAAAACTGGGTACGATATGCGACCATAAATTTTCTTGGGTTCGTTTGAAGGTTAACAAACTTGCCGCGCATGCTATGTTCCAAACTGATGATAGTTTCAGAAACGCAACTAATTTTCACTTTAATTTACAGAATTCCTAAAGAACCCGATGATACGCCAGGTAATTCTTTTAAGTTAGAATTACTTGCTACTGTCCGCGCCATGTCTTTGCTGTCCCTCCAAACGATCCCCAGAGCTTTTGTGGTTGTAAGTGAGTACTAGTTTTCTGCCCGTTTAGAACACGAACATTTGATCCATATTCATCTCGTAATTCCATTACAGTTTCTTTGTGATTCTCAAGGGATCCGTCTCAGTTTACGCCAGAAAAGAGGATGATCACGTGGGCGAATATCACCCTCAACACGACATGGGTGCGGTGCGTAGCACGCAGGAGAGGCTTGCGTACTTTGGAACTGAATTGGGTAGTCTGAAAGGCGGTCGTAGCTTTGGTGAGATGGTTCTTACGAGTGAAAGAAAGGACCGAAACGCTACGGTCATAGCCGATGAGCTAACTGATTTGATAATTATAAACGAGGAACTGTATAAGAAGTCTTTTCAAGTACATAACCTAGAGTGGAAGGAGAAGTCGAGCTTCGCTCTTGCTTGTCCGCTGTTCCTCTCATGGCCAACAGCGCTGAAGGCTCTTCTGATTGAGAACCTCAAACTGCACAAAATTCACTTCGGAAATCGCGTGGTGGAACAAGGACATCCGTGTAACTCAGTCTATTTCATCGCCAAAGGTGCTGCAAGAGTTTTGTCGGATCCACGCAAGTCTAAAGAACAGTGCGAAGCTCTAAGTCCAAAAAGGGTACCGAAGAAAAAAGAGATTAACGTAGAGGAGGAAGTAGAAAAGATTGAACTAAATGCGATGGAAGATCTGTTGCGACCTTTGACGGTCATTGAGCGACGCCGTAGACGGATTAAACATGGTTTCGTTGCCATGGAGACCAGGCTTCGTCAGCGTGAGATACAAGCAGCTACCATTGGTCCTAATGACGTCATTGGTGATATAGAAATGGTTCTTGATATTCCCGAGTACTGTGCGAGCGTGGAATGCGTTGAGACGCTAGAGGTATATGAGCTGGATAAGGCTAGCTTTCAACGGCTGGTTGCCCGTCGCAGCCCAGAGACCCTGGAGTTACTGCGCAAGTTGGTAATTACGAAATTGAAACTTCGAACTGAACGCTTCGAGGAAATACCATTGTTCAAATATCTTTTCAGTCGAGCAATATGCCTACCACAGTACGGGAAACCGAAGGAGATAAGAAAGAATTATATACCACAACTGGAACGAACGAGACCTCTTGGCAAACGCTGGAAGAAAATCGAAAATGTAGTGAAGGCAACCACACAGTTACTGGCGGCGCCAGGTGCAAAGAAAGGAGAGAGAAAAAACAATTCAGAAAATAGAGGAGAAACAGTTATCAAAGAGAACGAGACACAAAACGGGCAAGTTATTAAACAGGGATATTTTTACAACTCCAAAAATAAATGTATTCGAAGCCATAAAAAAACCGGTTGATATTGTCTTGAGGGTGTTTTCCAAAAGTCAGAACTGGCCGGCCGGACTGGTAATGTTGAAAATAAAATACCAGTCTTTTCTCGAAATTTTCACTAAAACACATTACATGCGGTATACCATTTACGAATAAATGGATCTGGCTGGATAGTCACGATTAATGGAGGAATTTTCGCTAAGGTTAGACTCATCTGGCCTGTCAGTTCTGACAAATGTTAAGTGCCCTAGTGAACAATTTTGGAAACTGATCTTACAGTATCGGTTAAAGCTAGTTATCAAAATGAAAGTTGTAGCCTTTTCACAAATTTGCTTTGTAAAATTACTAATTAAATAGCATGCCAGTATTCTTAATATTTTTTAGTAAAGAGTTTCACTATTGATCCATGCTGCACCGTGGTGCGTGAGTTCATGCGCACTACAGCAAAAGATGTCTCTCTCTTGTAATGCACTCATGATGATCATATAGGTTCTGTCTCTTTTTCAGTGAAAAGATACGACGAGAGAAGAAACGCTCAAACAGAAAGGTAAAAAATAGTCGATAAAAAATAAACAGACAGTTGTCCTTTTTACGATGAAAAAGGGAAAGAAAATGTAGTAAAATTATTTATTTTGACAGCTGAATAGGGAATACCAGTCACGTGTCAACTACGCGTTGGACTTCCTGCATAATAAACTTCGTTCGCTAAAGTACTATACCCAGTAGCTTTCCACTTTATACAGCTTTATTAACGGTCCACTGGAATTAAGTACGGCTTTCACTTGAGAGGTCACACTTTAGGATCTCCTTTACCCCAGCAAAGATCAAGAATCAAAAGTTAAGTAAAGTTAGAAACACCTTGTACAGCATAATAAACAGTTCCACAGGAAACTACTACTCAGAATAGCTTTCATTTGAATATGGTTGCACTTATAGGATTTCATCAACAGACTCCAAAGCTAGAACCTCCTTGTACAACATAATTAACAGTACCACAAGAAAATACTAATGTGAAGAGGCCCTAGGTCACAATGGTCACACTTATAACCAGCAACTCACTCCAGACAGTCAGGCGTACTCCAGAGTGCAATATCGATACTCGTGGTTTAGCTGGGACAATGTCAACCGGAGGTGCGCCTTCTCCTCTTGTAATATGCTTTGAGGCTAACAAATTTGTAGACCCCAATTGGTACAAAAATCGTTCAAAATCGCACCTTAAGTGTGCAAAGAGTCCACTTCCAGTTGACGTACATCGCTCAAAAGCTCGGCACTCATTTTAATATTATTCTGCTTATTAGCACCCTTATACATGATGGGTCATCTTCTCCATTTTATCTCCATATTACAGGAGGTATCCAAGAGCAAGCAGTACACCTCCGAAGATTTTCGGGCTCTAAAGAAGAAAATGCAGGCTCAACGAAAAATGATCGGCAGAGTATCGGACTAAGTAGTAAAAAAGTGTGTACTATAACAATTCTGTGTTTATTCTCGAATAAAAAGTCTTAATTTCAGCTGGGATGGCGTACAGAAATGCATGAACTTGTTTAATAGCAACCAATTATAAACTTACCAAGTGAAATAAAAGTTGAGGTAAATATGTGCATTCATTTTGTGTTTGTTCAGTTGGTCTAATACGTCTAATACTAGCCAGCAAGGAGGTATAGATAATTATTAGACGAATTTATTTTCTAAATTTTGAAAGGTATTCCAGGTTAAGTGAGTGAAGTATGAGTTAGTGCATTGAATGAATATTTATAGATGGTCACTTTTAGTGTGACATGTTTACACTCTTTCTGGCCTCCAGCTCATATTTAGTCTCGAGTCTATCATGAGGTAAAGGTTGGGTAGGACTACCAAGAATCCAATTATACAACATAAAGAAGATTGGGCTCTGAGCCATATGACTTTAAACTCAAAGTTTGACGTTCCTCTAAAGGCAAAAAAGAGGTATTTTAACACAAACATTTAAACACCCAAATCTAACATAAACTTCAGTAAATACTATTTCTTTATCTATTGAGTTAAATTTCTATTTAGTTATTTATTTATTTATTTCAGTTGTGATTTACTATGTGTGTTTTTTTTCTTATGATGCTTATTCTTGTGCCTGTGGATAGTTTTCATTATTTTATACACTGATTATATACTTGTTTGTTAGGAGAAAGCTGATAAATCTTGGCACAGGAAAAAAACACAGAGATATCGTGGAATTTCTACTGAAGGAGTATAATGCGTGCTTGAACTTAAATCTGAACTTGGTGCAAACAAATTTGCTCCTTCTTAGACAGTGTTTGCGGAAAGTTTTTACCAGTCTGTACTCATCTATAAACAGTGAACAGTGTACTAAAAAATCCCTTAATTTTATGTCCATTGAAAACTTTTACACTGTCTAACGTTCGCGCAAAGTTGCCGTAGAAATTGAGTAATGTTCAAGGACTAGAGGACTATTTTAATTTTTGTCTTACGATTTCTCTTAGTGTCTAGGAGAGTGCCCGTCATTCTTCTTTTTCTTCCCTCAAAACACGGAGATTTCAACCTCCTGGTTTTATCGTTGTTTCGTTTCAGACAAACACTCGTTAACCGCCCTCAGAATCCTGCCAATCACTCCGCTGATGACGAAACTGACAACAAATTTGGCGCAGTTGAAAAACATATCAATCACTTTGTGAAACGATTAAAACTGTAAATTGTGAACACTTGCTCGTTCAGCCTACGCCAAACTTCCACAGCTGCCTGGAATCTAAAACACGCAGCCTTGTTTGTCACCGCAGTTTGCGTGTTATTTCTTATCATTCTATCCCAATCTCTTCCGCTGGAGAAGGGTAACGTGGGCTTCGAAAAAGAGCATTAAGAATCAACAAAGATGATAAAGTGCAGCTTGTAAAGTTCAAATCGCTTTGAATACTATGCTACTCCAAAGAATATAAGACTAACTTTCAGTAACAACATGGAACTATCCATTTCATAACTTATAGACTGCATGCAACAAATTCTCTTTCAAAGAGTAGAAGTAACAAGACCTCTAATCGCAAAAGACGCCCCGTGTTCTGACTATCGTCGTAAGCGACCACCTCCAGTAGTAATCACTTCGTCTTCGCATGGATAGTCGCATACCGAAGGCTTAACTGTATATACCTATAACAAAAACAAAAAAAGGAAACAAACAAAACAACATTGACCATCAATGACGGTGGAAAAGTGCAAGGGACTTGAAAATACAGTTCTTATTCACTCGGCTTTAAAGATACTGTGTAAAGCGAACGTAGATATCAGACCGTGCGGTCATCCGGCCAGTCGCTTACAAATGCAAGGTTAAATATAGTGAGAAAGTATAGAAAGGGTCAACGCAAACAGTGGTCGCGGTCGCTCACGAAAGATAGTCGTTCACGAGGAGGCCTAGGTTCCATGCAACTATAGGGCTGTGACGGAGAAAATTTTATGTTTTGGATCTGCAGTCGCAGCTAACTAGTATAGCTTACGAGGGGTGGTCACACATAAAGGTTCGACTCTACACACCACATATAATTTTCGAATCCAGAGAATATAGGCAGGACCCAAGGGACCCAGTTGTTCAAACGATTGACCTCGCTACCCATCGGATTAATCACTATCCAGCGGATAAGTATTAGCGAAACCAATTGCGCGGTATCCACTGGACAGAGATTCATAAAATCAATAGCGTTATCCAACTTTCGAACAACTGGGTCCAGATCCCCTTAACCTGCGATCAGGCCTTTTATTTCTTTCTTTTTTTTTTTTTTAACATAGCGTAGGCTGAACGAGTAAGTGTTCAAAAAGGGAAAAAGGACACCTGATCCTTAGTCTAATGCCGCATTCATACAGTGTACTAACTGAACATGTTGAGTTAAATAGAGGTTCAAAAAAATGAAAAAACAGACATGGAAAACTGTACCGCAGCCGTTTTTAGAGACGTCAACTTGTTTTGTAATTTTCACCAAATCCGCAATCAACTTGAGTGAGTAAACACAGCTTTTACAGTGGAACCTCGATGTAACGAAGTACTCGGTATAACAAACTATTTTCTTTACCCCTGTAATAGTAAAACATACGGAAAATGTGACATTGATATAACAAGTTTTGCCAGTCTCTTGGCTCTTCGTTATATCGAGCTTCCACTGTGTAAGGGAAACAATTTAAAACTATGTATTTCTCTAAACAACTTTTGACTGACATGTTAAAGCTTAGGTGTGAAATTAAATGAGGTCCTTGCTCAGTGAAGTCGTCAAGAAAGCTAACCACCGGTACCGTATTAGAACTCAATCGAATTTCCCCTTCTTGATTTTACGGCGAGTATAGATGCCTTGAGAGAACGTTTCATTATTCATAGATCAAGGACTTCACTACGATAAATTGGATATAGTCCGGTTTTAACGATAAATTGTACTGAAAAGGTAAAAATAAATCTGTCACGATTTTACATGACGTTTTCGACTTAAATTTCGCTGTAGATCACCTTCAACAAAAAATAAGGATGAACGGTTTGACGTTTTAGAGAGATTTGATTAAAAAAGAAAACAATAATAATAGAGGCTTCCCTTCCCCCTCAAACTCCCACTCACCCCCACCCACAATAGAAGAGTTGCCTAATCTTAATTAAAAGTAGAATGAACAACAGGTGTTATGGGTCAGCCAGGTTTGGGGGAGTAAGCGCGCGGCTCAACCACGCAAAAGAAGAGACCGCGATGTTTGTTTGAAAAAGTCATGTCAGACTTATTCTGCAACTTCTACTTCTGTAAGCAGATAAAAGATAAAACGATCTTTGGGGAATTAAATCCTAGCCAAGGATGAAATTACCTACACGTATACTGTATTTATTCGATTAACCTCCCTGGGCGCTTATTAAATTTTTGGACCTTGAGAGTGGGCGCTTATTCGAGGCTGGGCGCTTATTAAATTTTCAGCATTTTCAGCAAGTGTAGTATGTTTACTTTGCAACAAAACAATAAATGGTAATATAATGACAAAACGCGACGATGCAACAAAGCAAGGTTCCTGTAAAATACTTTGAAGAAAACTCCGTCTTCGGGGAAGTCTCTTAGTACTTATTCAATTTTGGGGGGGGGTGAGGTGGGGGGGTCGCTTATTTGGGTTTAAGTGGGAGTGGGAGGGAGGTGGGGTGGGGTGGGCACTTATTCGAGGCTGGGCGCTTATTAACTTTTTCTGCCTTTAGGATGGGCGCTTATTCGAGGTGGGCGCTAATTCGAGGTTGGGCGCTTATTCGAATAAATACGGTAATTAAACCCGTTAATTTTTAACCAAAATATGTTTTTTGTATATCCTTCAGCGTCGACGAGTTGTATGAATAAGAGAAAACTCCCAGGGACGCTCAAGCAACGGCTCTTGGTTCAGCGTCTGGAAAGGAAACCAATATTTCTTTTTTACCAAAATACCGTAAAATTCCGAAAATAAGAAGCCCTCTCCAAATATAAGCCCCCCAAACCGGTAACCCAAAAAACCCTCCGTTAAATCGCCCCTCCAAATATAAGTCCCCCAGGGGCTCCTACTTGGAAAATTGTCCTCAAATACAAAGTAAAACAAAGCAAAAACGGTAAATTTACTTCCAACTCTAAGGCTAGCCCAATCGATTTTGAAACGCAAATTTCCCTCCGTAAATAAGCCGCTCGGAATATAAAGCCCCTCCAAAAATAAGCTCCTCAAAAAGGGCCTTTGAAAAATATAAGCCCCGTGGCTTATTTTCGGAATTTTACGGTACGTTTTCTGGATATCCTACAGCCTCGAGGAGTTGTATGAACAAGAGAAAACTCCCAGGGACGCTCTTGCAAATGACTGAGTCGCTATGTGGGCCTATGACCGGAATGAAGTATCCTAACAAATGTAGCAGTTAGACACATAGAATTTCCTAAAAGCAAGAGAAAATAACAGGACACAGATAGGGAGACGTCCAGTTTAGCTCATGGGATATGCGAATTTTACCAAAGCTATTTTTAGACCAATTTAAAACTTGAAATTAATCGGAAACTGGTTTCCGGAAAGGTCCGCAAAGTTTTATTCAGTGTTGCCGAGAGAGAATTCAACATTCGCCATTTCAATAATCTGCATTGTTTTCTTTAAGCAGTCGCGCGTGGATTTGATAACGTTAATTTCAAGCAATCGATTAAAATGTGCGAACGTCTCAGGAATTTGACTTCCGTTTAATTACAACCTCTAAAAATAACTTAAGTAAAATTTACACATTTCCTGCCAACGCCCTAAGATTCCCTTTCTGTCCCAATGATATTCTTTCTTGATAAAAGACAATATTTAACATCACAGTTAATGATGTAACCAGAGAGAGATATTCTTAGCTGCGACAATCTCAGCAAGTGTGTTAACTACTCCTCAAAGGGCATAGTCTGCTTTTCACTTGTGGAATCAGTACGGCCGTACTCATGAAATGAATATTAATTTGTATACTATATGGACTTTTAATGGTAGCTAAAAGTGGAAAATCGCTTGAAATCTGTACTGAAACTAATAAATGAGCTACACGCAGAATTCAAATTGGTATTTAATAAATCAGGAAGTAAAAAGAATTCAGTTCTTCAGATTGTGACAGCCTATGACAGTCACTCTAAAATTCAAGTAAAATTTCCATTTTGATTTTGTTAAATACTGACAAAAGAGCAGCACCACAGGCACACAATCATACTTGTAAAGAATTTCTCATTTGAATGGTCACCCTATATGATTTTGCGAGTATTCTCCAGAAAAAATCAGAAGTTTTTAGATCTCCATAACGGATCCAGCAGCCTTTAGCAAAGATAACTTCTCGAGCATGGTTTGGAGCAGATTAAAGTATACAGTATAAATCAAGACAACGTTTACAACTCAAAGCTGATATCTAAACTATTCAATTTTCTACTACCGCCAGATTTTTTTTTACGCAGACACTTCTTGTCATTTTGAAGTTTCGGACATTGCAATATTTTAAGCTGTTATATCGAAAATAACAATTGAACAATAATTAATAATATATCGCTGTTCTCTAGACAAGTCTTGTTTCACTGACTACCAGAATATTCGGCTGTAGAAATTATTGTCCTCTAATTCAATGCAGTCAATTCGCAGCGTTAAGTATATTTGTTTTCACCTCTTTCCAAGAAAGTCCCGATGTCAATAGTCAAATGAGAAACTTTATTCATTGATGTGGCGATGTCATACCTTGTTAATTCAACAGACCTTTAGCCTGAGTTCAGTCTTAACAGTTTCCATTCGTAACACTTACACATACGAATTCAAATTCAATTGTAACCCGGTTTACGTTTTATATGAAGTTATCGCAATAAAGATTATTATTATTATTATTATTATTATTATTATTATTATTATTATTAACCGTCTGCCATGAAATATATTAATTGAACATTCTTGCAAGGCATGCGCATTGTGAAAACAGGCGCTCAACAGGCTCCAAGGTCACAACAACCATAAATACGGGCTTACAGGTGGTTTTGTGTGTTTTACATCTTTTGGAGCAAAAAACATCGAGAATTGAAGATCTTATTTCAACGAAACTTTTAGTAAAATCGTGCTTCCAAAATAAACAACTTAGGACCAAGTAACTATGCGTTCTAATTTTTTCTGAAAGCCAAGAAATTTTTGGGACTCCGAAATGAGTACGTACTTCTAGTGTTTGAAAAAAACTCAAACGTTTGTTAGCAGTTTCAAGTGAAAAGGAATCGCATATTGAAAATCTATTTCAAGTCTACTGAGAATGCTCAAACCATCAACCAATTGAGAATTATGCAACGTAAAAGTTATTAAAAGAAGTAAATTGTACTATTCAGGCGGTAGTGAACAAAAACCGAACGTTTACCTTTGGTTGGGTTTAAATATTTAAGGACTAACAATATAAAAAAGATGTTTTGTTACATTGTAGTGAAAGGATTCTTACGTTAGCGATTTTGCTAAGACACTTTAGTTTAACATCGGGGAGAAATTGGTAAGCAGCTTTGATTAAAAAGATATATTTATCTGTTTTATAGTTATACACTTTACAATAATAGACAAAACAACTGTACTGCACTTGGTGTGAGATTTGATAAAGCCAAAGAAAGTTTGCGCGCGGCCCATCACGTTTCATTGACCGTTTTGCTCTTTAAGTAATGCCTCAAGGGAAATTTTCCCCTCAGCGCCGGTGACATTTAAGCATTTGAGGGAGCGTTAAGAGTGAAATAAGAAAGCAGAATAATTAAGGTGTACACATTCGTAATTTATGAGGCCATTATATCGATTCGAGACGGTTAAATAATTAAGTTGACTCTAATGGCCCGGACTGAAAGGAAATAAATTTAGCTCTTTGTTTACAATTGGTAGCACCTGCATTAGCGGCAAAATCAAAGATGCGTTTAAGAACAAGCGAAGTAATTATAACGTTTTATCGTTTGGCGAGAATGGGTGCACTTGCTTGTAATTTGAAGGAGTACAAATAACTTAATTGTATCCAGGCTACTTTACATAGTTGGCTTTTTTCCCAAGGAAGTTCTCTTCTTATTACGCTGGGTTTGTGATTTGAATGAAAGACCGGGATTTTCAGTTGATTAATGGCCGGAATAAAGGATTTCGGCGTTTTATAGCACCAAACGCCCTCAAAGGGAATTCAAAGAACAGAATGACCCTGTTTATCAAGGAAGTGCGTGTCAAAGACTTTATAGATTTCCGGCGACAACAAAATACGCTTGGGATAAATAAAGCTCCCTTGAGTTCATTTACACACTGCAGCAAACAGAGCGATACTGAGATTATATCTTATCTCATCTTCTACTAAACCAAGTTACCAGGAGAAATTTTTAATTTCAGTTGAAAGGTAAGTGAACAATGTTACTGATATCTAGTTTCGGAAGATAAACTGCTCAATTTTAGCTTAGCCAGGAAAAAGTTTGTTTGTTAAGAAAAATTAAATGCTTCGCAAAGTTATATTGAAGAATTACTTCGTTTTTTAAGGAGAAAAAGTTTTATCAGTGGAATAAACTCTTGGTTTATTTCAATAAACGTTTCTACTATTCATCCATGTCTGGTTGCAATAAATCATATCGCAAAGGAACAGCTGCTAAACATAGTTCACGCTCAGATTAAATACTAGAGGTGGAAAAGGTTATTTAAAATATTTTTCAGTATAGGAAACACATGTTACTTCCTTGTGGTGAAACAAGTCAGGTGACTTGGTTCCGACTAGAAAAGCAGCGCATACAAATTTCTAAAAACGTTTTAAAATTCCTAAAAACTCGCGGAAACTGAACAAGAACATTGATTAAGCATGAATGAGTTGAAACGCCTCAGCCATCAGTAACGACTTTTTTTTGGTGGTTGTGCTTGTGTTTCAGCGTCCCTGCGTTGCAAGTTTAAAGTGGGATAAAGTAGAAAAATCAGTTAACAAGAAAAGAAAGAGACAAGCACCAATAACTTAAGTCCATGAGTTTATTTCAATTCAGAGCTGCCAAGCTTTCGTTGCTAGGCCATCTTCGAATCAAATAAAAATAAATTGGAAATAGACTTCAATCAATTAAACAATGCAAGTGACTCGGTCCCGCTGATTATATGGAAAATAAAGTAAAGTACATTTCTTCAGAGGATCCCAGATCCATATTGGGTAGAGTATTCGCGCTCAAATCGAATGATTTCATTGAATTAGAGGAAGTCTATTAAGTGAATTTTGATCCCGAAGGACGGTTATCGTTATTACAAGTGATACTGGTGAAGTAGCATAATTTATTCCAACTGTGTTTCAGTGGCTAGGGGATTAGTTAAGATTAGGGGTTAAACAAGGAAAACTCTGGCGATGAAACAACAACAACAACAAACAACCATTTTATTTTGCCAACTTTAAACACGTTTACAAGGAACAGCATAAATTAAACAAGATAAGGCCAAAAAAGTACTCAGAATAGCAAAAACCTAAACGAGCTGAGTAGTTACAATAATTAAATTACATTTTATAGGGTTGTGACACACGAAAGATTAAGAGGAAGAACATCTTAAACTTAGGAGAAAAAAATAGTAATGAAACCCCTTTTTGATGTTTTCATTTGTGCTGCTTTTGGCGCACTGTTTCAGCTGACATTTTCATTACATTGTTTGGAGACTGCGAACTGAGATAACAATTGTAATGGCCACTAACTTCGCTCAGCAGTGGCGAAAATTTAGCAGGACTCTCTCTCGTCTCAATCAGGTTTTATCCGATCGACTCCTCAGTTTTGGTTTATGCCTCTGTTTAAAACTGAAATAATTATAACAGTTTATACTTCAACTAATGCTCCATCTCCATTCACACCAGAACTTGTTCATGTTTAAAAAGTGTTTAGTGAAGCACAATTCAAAATTGTTTTGCTCATAAAAGCTGCTTATTGACTTAACTGGAACATGTTAAAGTTCACTGATTTGAATCCTGTGTAAAAGCTGGTGTTCCTGCCCAGTTTTCTGTGTTTCCTTTTTTGAAAACCTGGTTTTATTAAACATGTCTATTTGGTGTGAATGAGGCATACCGTATTTCCTCAAATAATAGCCGCCCTCGATTTAATCGCCCCCCTTTGGCGATGAAATTTTTAAAAAAAAAAATAGCCTCTCTCGAGTAATCTCACCCACACAACGGCCCTGTCGCCATATCTTCTCTTTCTTTTAAGTCAAAAATTGAATGGTTTCAAAAACACAGGTTTTGTTACAGTTTTATGCAATGCTAATGTTCATGTATTCACTTCTCCCATTATTCCTTCGATATTGACATTCGGAAAATTAATCAAGGAACCAAATCTCATTGGAACACTTAAAAAGCCCCTGTTCAGTTTATTCGATTTACATTATTATTTTTTTTAATTTCATGGGATAATAAAACAAAATATTTAGCGCAAGACTTCCACTAAGCAGTATACAAAATAATCGCCTCTCTCGGCGAACAATCGCCCCCTTTTGGTGCGAAAAAATAATAATCGCCACCGACTATTGTTCGAGGAAATACAATAAGTTCGATAGATGACAGTTGCAAGGATGTTTGCTCACGTTCCCAAGATGAGCGTAGGTAGGCATCTCTATTTCACCACTTACAATCTTCAGCTCTGACATCTTTCTACAATCAAAGCAGGCCAACGGGGCTGTATACAAAAATATCGGCAACCCAATCATAGGCTAAGGAGCTAGTTGAACGGAAATAGGCGCAAATATGGCCTTTTTATAACACTAGCCCCAACACAGTTTGTCAGGAAGTTACTCAAACAGTGGTCACAGCTTGAAGATCTCTCAAAAACGTGACTTTATCTTTGAGAACAACTGGAAACTTCACAAGCCGAGCACAAGAGATTAACTACCAAAAACACCTTTACTGATTGATGCTAACTTGATATGACCAATCCGTGGGCCATAATTAAACTGCTGAATAATGCTCAGGTCGCCGGATAACACAACTGAGACAGCCGCGACTCACACAAACGTTAATCAGTCACTCACAAGCCTAACAAAGAATCATTCCACAGGATCTTTCTTGTTTTGACAATCCGCGGATAGTTGCACAGCTTTGGCTTTAATTGTGAAAAAATTGCTGAATAATCTTATATAACATTTAAAAAATAATATAATCAAATAATTTGGGAAGGTATATTAAATTGTTAATCAAAGGTGACTTCTTTTTACACCACAGAAAAGCGACCAAATCATGACGCCCTTCTCTGGTTCTGGAATCAGCACTTTTCTCCTGTGTTTAATGCTTTGTTTGCTCCAAACAGGTAACATTTTAAGGAAATTATAATTTATTTTGTTCATGAAAGCATTGCAAGCAGTTATAAAAACAGGAGCACAAACCGAATGTTTCTACATACAGTAAAAAAAACAACGTGAGTCGGAATCTGCATGCCTTTTTTCTAAGTTAGCCTAAAAAGGTTCTTATATAAAAAGGGAATTAGCACAAATTTAGGCTATTTAGGTTCTTATAAATAGGTTTTTATTTTCAGTAGAAAAAAACGCATTGTGTGGCTAAGAGTATTTAATGGTATGATTCAGCTGGATTGATTTTTAACGTTGGCGGCATTTACATTGCAGTTGGAATGCTAAGGCGCCAATAAGGATCCTGAATCTACAGAAATTTTTAAAGATTATATTTTAAAAAATAACAACCTATTTCAAATTTTAGGCTTAACAGGTTCTTGTATAGAGAGCCGGGGCTTAACTGGAGAATTTTACCCTAACAGGTTCTTAAACACAAGATTCTTAGTCGCGAGTTTTTATTTACGTCAAAAGTACCTCAAATGGTTGTTAATATCCTTCTTTAGAAGCCGGCAGTTTGGTTAATTTAGAGCTGCCCTAACTTTGGTCGTCTCGATTTTTTTAGGTTGCTTTTCGACTTGTCCAAAACTATTACCTACCCTGACCATGGGTCCTAACGAGATTTCGAGGACAAGTTCATTTAAAATTCTAGCCGCGGGACGTTTTGTCTTTTATGATGCCATTCAAAATTTGGAGAAGACCCCTTTTTTAGAATAATCGCAAATCTTGCTGTTAACGCGTGAAAAACACAAGCTCCGAAAATCGTAGGTAAATTAGAAGGAAAACTCCGAATATTTTAGACGACCGGAACGGTTACGCCAGAAATATTTAGCGTCTTTCGAGCTTTAGACATTTCCAAGCAATATTTACTTTTTTGAACAATTATTTTAGAGAAAAGCGTCCCTGAAAAAAAATAAGGAGTAGAACAAATTCATCTTCGGCTAGTTTTGGATGCACGGAAAAGACAGAAAAGATACACCACATTTTTTTACTTCTGACAGAAACTCTTTGGTATGTACATCTCACCTATCTTACACCGCGTGTTGAATTTTTACGTTTTATAGCCTGCTGTAAATCATCAGGCTACATCTTTGCTCATCTTCCTCGCCTACAAGCTCTCAGCTGATTAGCAATTATTAGACGAGGCTCCTTGATACATTAACAACACCCAAACGAAGACACTTGAAGGGTTGAATAACCATTGGAGTCAACCACTGAAGTCTTTGTCTTAAAAAACATCATCCGTATTGGATCGAACATAGTGAATTTCAATGCAAAGAAAATCTAAAAAGAGACTGAAAACTTTTAATGCGCTGTGCCCAATATAGTAGTCTGGGTTGATGGGTTTTTGCTCCCTGATCCCAAGCTAAGAAAACATCTCAAATTTTGTCTTGCCAAGAAGAGCAGCGAAATAAATTAGGCCACATCATCAGAAAGTGTTGCTGATACAGGAGTCATGTCACAGTATTTTTTCAACAAATAAAGAATGCTCGGCCTGCAGTGTTCAAAAAACTAGGGTGCAGAAAAAAGACCATAATATATAAGACAGGGTCGTCAAAATGTTTTGACAAAATGCAATTTAAAATTCGGCTAATAGAAATTGATATTACGCTTTCTATTGGACTGAATAAATAGAAATGAGGAGACCCCATATTAGGTTAGTCTGCTACACAGCCGTTTTTAGTGTCGTCACGCAACGCTCCTCGAGCGTTGCGTGACGACACTAAAAACGGCTGTGTAGCAGACTAATATTAGGTTAGTTTGAAAACAAAAAGATATCTATTTTTTTACTTCAATTTAATTCTAAGTTTAAGGAAAACATGAGGTCATTCTTAACCATTGTAAGTGAAATGACTTATTTTTGTCCTCGAAACTGCCCATCTCCCCCTTCCTTTAAGTCAACATTTGCCCAGAGTGAGAAGTGAATGTTACTGTTGGCTTAAGGGAGGGGTAGGAGGGCAGTTTCCCAGAATCTTAACTTGATCCATACCTTGACATGATTGCCTTTAGTGTATCCAAAGGATTTGCCTCAGGAACAAGTTGCCATGATAGATGCCTTCGAGGCTGCTAACCCTCACCCAGTACCCAACCCGATACCTGCAAAAGAAGCCACTGTAGCCTGCAGTAGCGAGGAAGAATGCAGCGGAGGTCCTTATAGGGTGGGGCGCAGTGAGATATCGACAATGCTCCTTAGCTGCAAGGAAGATCCTTCGCCTGCTATTTGCCGCATCTTTGTCGGGAGGAAAAGACGACTGGATAAACATGAACTATTGATTGAAAGACGAGCCCCTCAACCAGGATGTAACCCTAATAACCCAGGTTGTCGTTTCAGCGGTCTAAAGGAGATATTCAGGAGGACTGACAGTATAAAAGATCCGGAATTGGCAGATGATACCGACAGTGACGACACGACGCATTGCGACCCCTCATACCTTGACTGCCGTCTTGGTCGCAAGCGTTCGGTAAGTTGGCATCTTGTTTATTCCCCATGCATGGAAAGAGGGTCCCATTAACCCAAATAAGTTTTTCCGGATGCGAGATGTGCCTTATTTAAAGGCCGGGACTCGCGATTTTAACGCCAGCTGGAGGCAAAATTCGTTTGGGATTGAAGGCAGGCACGGGATGCGAGATGCCAAAATATCCATGGGCCTCACGGGATTGAAGAACCCTATGGGGATCCCGTAGAATCACTTGAATGTGCGCTAAACGGTAAACCGGAATTGAGTATGTTTAATTTCCGTTTCACGTGACCAAGCTTTCCCTTTACTTATAATTTGCTATCCACTATATGAACAAATCAGGTTCATCCAGAATTAATTTGGACTGTTTACACCTGAACTTGATCATTTCCTTCGTTAAAAAAATTTTCCACCTGAATCTGACCTTTGCAGTGTGTCGTCCCATATAAGGGAATCCAGGACAGTCTTGGATTCTGGATTCCACGCCGTGTATTCCGGATTCTTGGTACTGGATTCCAGTATTTGTCAGTAAAACTTGGATTCTGGATTTTAATCGTTCGTGCGATTCCGGATTCCTTGAGTGGTATTCCGGATTCCCAACCCAGGATTCCAGATTCCACATTCAAATTTTTTTTCGGATTCCGGGTTCCGCAAGCGAAAAAATGAGGGGAAGTTTTCCGTAAACATAGCTCCAAATCTCTCTACTAAGCTAATATCTCTGAAGGATCCCGCCTGTAAGGCCCGCCTAGGATATAATAATGTGACTAGAGGAATGGGGAGAAAAAACTTGCGTAAGAGGTTTAACTTTTGTCTCAGGAGGATTAGTTAGTTTTTCGACAAAAAATCTGTGCTGGGAATACATGAGAAATATACATTACTGAGATAGGGAAAAATTAAATATTGGGATGGACTTCAAAGATAATAGAAACGCTACGAACCACGTTTACGGCGAAAATGGCGGTTTCTCCTTTGCCGTTTGCCGTCAGATTGTCCTCAAGCTTTGTGCATGACGCAGATCTGGAAAAGGAACTCAGCACTCCTTGCAATCCAGCCAAGGCCATCACTATTTTTCATATACAACATGAAATACAACGGTATTATACTGGGCCGGCGTTTTTCATTTTACCAAAAACATTCCGAAACATCACTGGAAAGGTCTGTCGGGTGAATAACCAGACTGAACATGTTCCATTTGACACAAGTTCTATTTGATTTCTTTTCTCGCCACAATAATGATTCATGATGGCGGCACAGATATCGCCATGAATAGCTTTGCCTGACTGATAAATCGTTGTGAAAACCCGTAAATAGGCCACGCATTTCTACTGAAACGTTTTCAATATATTTTCAATACTCCCGACCTATTATTCCCTGAAAGTTTCCAGTGGAAAGGCCAAAAATGAGTGTTCAATTTCTTCTGTGTCGTTTGTCATAAACGTAGTGCTTCTCTCTCGAAAATGATGTCCAATATGAATATGATCATGCTCAACCTACGTATTCTTAAGAAAAACTGAGACGCGCCATTACTGATAGAAAAGTACACGAACTAATTTGGGACCGAGTCCTATTGTTAATAAAACCAAAAACTGCTGTAAGACTTGAAGAGTGTTAGAGCCACTTTGATATCAAATAAAGTTACTTCAAACCTGCTTTATTGACTCTAATGTTTCATAATACAGACGGGACTCGTTATGATTTTGTCGACAGATTTCCAAACGCTTTGGTCGCGATTGTACGAAGCCGGAAAACTGGCAAGATCCCATGTGCAAATGGCCGCATGCGCAGACAGCGTAGTAGGACATCACATACAATCATTTCACAACAGAGAAGGTAATAGAAGACTATTCCAACAAAAATGACCTCTGAATAAAGGAGAAATTATTCCAGAACAATGAATGTATTCTACGGGGACAATATGGAAGGTCTAAGGACAACAGTACGTTACGTGGTCATTGTCAAAAGGGTAATCTCATCATTGAGGTCGCATACACAAACGGAGGGAAAACGTGCCCCATGTCTCTGTGAAATAAGTTCATTTGCTACAACAAATCTGAAACAACTTATACAAACAGAATCTAAGTGGATTAAAACCCCAAATATATCTCATTATATGAATCCCATTCATAAAAAACGTTTTGAAGCAAGCCCAATAACATTCTACAATCTTTGAAATATGATACAGCCCGAAAACTGTCAATTCTTGGCAAAAATAAAATCAGTGTAACTGCATTGAAAAGTAAAACCAGAATAGATATATCCGCTAAAAATGGAGCATTACTTTGACCACATGATCCGACCAAAAGAGACAAAAGACTTCGGCTGAGAAGTTTGACTGCGACGAGGACTCTACCGAGAAAGAGGGAGGTCTGGCTGATTGGCAGGAAAATAACTGATAAGGGGAGGCCCATTGTCAAAGGCTTCAATGACAGACCCCCAATAATGCGCGCTATGCTGTCTATGTTTTAACATAGTCAGAAAAAATTGTATTACTCTGACCAGGAGCGATCAAAACGTTGACTTCCCTCTGATCAATTTATGTTAAACTTAATACTTAAGTTTTTATTTAAAAGCTTACCCAAGCTTGTACATTCTAATATTCAAAGCAGGATCTTTTTAAATTACACTTGTAAGGCTGACTTGTTATTTGCTCTTTTGTTTCAGAAGATTTAACAATCTCTGGATATTTCTATGATCTCTTTGGAGTTTGCCTATACAAGAAGCAACACGACCAGTTATTAAAAAATATATAACTTTTGACAACTCCTAGAATATGTAAAAACTTAATAATAAAGCTTTAAACCTAACTTATGAAATAAAACCCGTTCATGTGGACCTTGACATCAACGTTTTCGGTCCTTCTAGATTACAAATCTGTCTCCCTTTTTCTTGAGTACTGAAAAAATCATATCGCTGGAATGTAGTGATTACTTTGAAGTATCAAAAGTACCGCCGGGCAAAACTGGGCTGAATTTGCGTCCTAGTTCATGACTATTCAAGGGCACCCAAAGACGGTTTCCCCGGAATACATTGAAAACTCTTTTTAGGCTATCCAGAGTACTTTTAGATATATAGAAATGCATTCTAAGCGGCGCTGTATAATTTGTATCTGTTCGGTATCTTATCGAAATTACAAGGGCTTCAGTATTATTTTCCCGAAAATTCTAGATGCAATTTAACGTATCACGAAAGTGAGGATTTTTCTTAGTCCTCTCTCCATCACATTTTTGAATCCGAAAATTTTAGGTTTCCTTTTTCTACGAAGCCCAACATGGGAAGTAAAATGTGGGAAGTTAAACTTCAGAAGATCGTAAATGTGGATATTAAGCTTCGAAAATCGTACTTGAATTGAACGGTCAATTAGAAATTTCAAGCCGTTCTCAAGCAATAGAAAATTCTATGCAATATTTGCTTTTTCGAACAGATAATTCACAGAAAAAGGTCGTTGGGTGCCCCTACGTATTCCGTAGATGTTCCAGGCTCGGTCAATCCTGAACTTTGACGTCATCGAGAAAGATTACCTTTTGCGAGACTTCGCGCGCACAAGTGGGCAAGAAAGAACGCCCAAGGACTAGGCTGCTGAGTTTGTTTGTTCGTTTGTTTGTTTTCTTTTGTTTTGTTTTTTCTATTAAAAGTAAGTGAAGTTGCTGTCGTGACACGCAAGGGGAAAGTGCGAGGCGATAAGCGAGAGCGTCATCCCCTAGCCTGTTCTAGGCTCCGAGATAGTTAGGCCCGCTGAATTGAGAAAGCGCGAAGACGAAAGTAAAACGGCAGGAAACTGGGGAGAGCAGGCGCGTGCCTTTTACTTTCGCGTCTTCCCCACTATCTGAGAGCCTGGAACAGGCTAGTCATCTCCTCCCACTGTAGACGCGGGAGTGGCAGTCCTTTTCTTTCGCGACTAAGAAAAAAGTGAGACTTCTTTGAAACTTCGTCGACATCAGTCCTGAGAGTAATCACCCTCTTGAAAGAAACGATGAACGTTTTCAGTTCACAGGGATTCCTTCTCAGACTTTGCTCATGAACGATTCGATATAAGTGAACCGCCAAAATGAAACAAAGAATGAAGTGGTGTTCTGTAAACTATCGAGATGTTTTGGATCAATAGTTTACAGAACACCACCTCAATCTTTGTTTCATTTTTACTGCTCTTCGAGATTTAGACCCGTTTAAAATGAAGAAAAATTGCCTCGGGGAAGAGGGTTACCCTCTCCGCCGAGTCAACTTCAGAGAGCGTTTATATGAGAAAAACGTGATCCCTCTCCCCCAGCTGAGGGCTGACAACAACCTCGCGCATTGTCTCGCTCAATCACGTTGATCTGGCTGGGCGGCTAAGACAGTGTCCCTACCATCAAAAAAGGATGACTCGGCTAAGGGGTTCACCATTCTAGCCATGCAAACTATTTGTTCCTCGTGTTAACGGCTCGCTAAGTTTTGTAAGGACATGAAGGAAATTTTGACAAAAAAAGGCGAGCTCGGATAGGCGAGTGAATCTTCTACACGGGACAAGTTTTCTCCATATAACTAGGGCCCTAATCTTGAAGCTGGACACAAATGTTCACTTCACTAATAGCGTTAGTTCGATTCTCGGTCTGACATTTATATTTGAGTTGCGTTTGTTGTTACTCTCGAGAGCAAGATTTTGCTATGCGCTACTGGTCATTCTTCCCAAAAAAAGAAAAGAAAACATGTTCTACTTTGCGATCGGTTTTATTTTAAAAAAATCTGCATAGATAAGTTAATTAAAATTTAAAGCTCTTGTATAGATACTATATTTTAGTAGTTGTTGGAAAAGAAAAAAGAAAATATTCTTCATACAACAATAAAATTCATGTCCCAAAGAAGATTCTCCATTTTCTCATGACAATTGCAGGAAAGTGAGAAATGAGCAGCGACTTCGAAAAACAGGAAAAAAATTAAATTCTGTATATTCCGACGGTAAGGGTTTCGGGTTAACAAAGAAAGTCTTTAATAAATACTTCTGGCTTTGAAACATTAAGTTCTCTCACAAATACCTTATTTTTTTAGATTCTTCCCTGGATACCAAAGATATTTTTGTATTTTTTTGTTGTTGTTTTTCTTTTCTATTTTTCTTCAGACCATATTCCTAACATCTTCATAATCAAAAATACACCTCTTTGTATGATAATTTCCACGCATTCAGAAACATTCAAATTATAGACTCTTGACGTCAAACATCCTGTTTATCGGTTATTTCATAATCTTGGAATCTCCTGCTACTAAGATTCAGTTAAAACTTGAAGAATTCCCAGTACCTAACCACAGAAGTTGTCTAATCAGAACTGCTCCTCAGCTGCCTTACCACATTAAACTTGAAAAACTTGTTACCGAGCTAGCTCCTTTCATTTAGAAACCAGAGTAACTCATTCTTAGCACAGTGGAATGAAAGACGTTGTCAACAGCATTACCTCGACTATAATATTGTTCTTCGATCTAACAAGGGAGAAGGAAGAAATGGCGACGCTAGTCTCAAAGCAACGTAATTCGTCCGCGTGTTGGTTTCGGGCGTCAAGAAGTTTCTTGACTCGATTGAGTGATCGAAAGTTCTCTGTTGTGAAGGCAGGTTTTCCACGCCTTCTTGTCTGCAGTCCTCAAAGTCAGGTTTCTCCGTTCCCGCAGATGCTGTTTCTATTCCGCTCGAGCAATTGTCTTCATTACATTCGATTTCATCAAAGTTCACTTGGGTTTCAGCGTCCGCCATCGTAGCTGAGGGAAAACAAAAACAAAACAAGGGTTAAACATTAGTAATAATTTTCGTTCAAGCCGGTGTTTCTTTGGGCACAGATGCAAACTGTGTGCTAGCCTCCATTACATGTGTTTTCTTCGCGTTGTGTGCGTGAATGTTTTACACGCGTAACCGCCATATTGAATTCCAAAAAAGTCGAGAGTTGAAGCAAATCATAAGGGGGGAGGGGGCTTCTCCCTGGACTGAAGGCGAAACAGTTATATTTACAGATAATTAGACTCTCCGGCGAAAAGCCCTTTTTGCTTTGATCATTGCTTGTCGAGCAGACTTTCTTAAAACGTACAATGTAGTCTGTAGGGCAAGTCTAACAGATTATCTGCGCTTCAAGGCTTGTGTAGAGGTACTTAATTTATAACCTGCTTCTCAGTCAAGGGATAATAACGACTTACCTCTTCTTTTGCAAACGAAAATCGAGTCAAAGAACACTACAACGGACAGAAATCCCAGTACAGCAGCCGCACCTGGTACAATACTTTGCACTTGCCGAACATATTCAGCACACGTGGGGCATTGAGCACTGCAAAGCAAAAACTCCATACATCACTTTCTGATCGAATGGCTCTAAAAGCCTCAAAAGGTAGACAAAAGCTGACAATGAAGCAAGCTCTTTCCCAGGTTCTCTCTCCTACCCGTCCGTAAGGACGGGTAAGAGAGAACCCTGGGAACGGGGTTGACAATTAAGTCAGTCTGTTCATAAAATGCACTATGGAACTTAACGTTCACGAAGAAATTACTTGTAAACGACAAATCACAGCTTCTTGACGAACAAATATACTTCCCTTGACAATTATATCAAACGTTACAAACAACGAAAATGAGCTTTGAAAAAAATATGACTCTTGAGCAAACAAGTTTTCAAAAACCTAAAATTTCAATCCCGTCTTAAATTAATCTTCTTCAAGTTTGTCCATCCGTTCCTACTTTTGTATTTGCTATTTTGTTAATACCTTTTTTTAATATTTTGACCTTCTGTTTTGTTTCACTTAATTTGGTAGCAGAACCTACTGTTAGAATTTAGATAAAATTCGTGACACAGCTCCTTTAACCAAACAAGACAAATTCAAACAAGAAATAAGCCAAAAAAGAAATTTTCGAAATACTTCATGAATCCAAGAAAGCTCACCTCTGTTCGTCTTCTGGATTCAAATCTTGGATGATTTTAAAAATGGCTCCACTGAAGACTTTATCAAAGAAGCCAATAAAACCATACACGAATGCACCGGAACTCTGAAAAGAAAAAAAAATCGCTCAATGTGCAGCATAAACTGGTTGTTACTCATGAAAAATCATTTGCTTATCAGTGCGCTACTCCCCACATATACTGTATTAGGAAGCTGTCAAATATACAAAATTTCATAGAAGTATAAAGAATTTTCACTCACGAGGCCAACATCTATGCAAATTTATTGAAACAAAGGAAAACGTTTACATAGCGTCTACATAAGAAAAGAGTTCAACTTCCACATGCAGGATTTGTTTTGGAAAACAAATATGGCCATCGTTTTATTGTTTTGGACCACTACTGTGGCCGCCGTGACGTCAAGTGAAAACGCTTTATATTTAGACTGTTTACCTTATCGTGTCCGATGAGCTGCGCTATCCAAGAAAGTGAAGTAACCAGCATCACAGAACCTCCGCTGCCCATAAGTATAGAAGTCGCGTACACAGCCTGTCTGCCACTAACATTTTGAACAAAGAACCAGAAACTAGCACCGATTGCCATAACAGCACCAAGGCAGAATGTGATCTGAAAAGTGTCATAAATTAATCATAAATAAGGTCAAGAGAATGACGGATATGGTCACCCCATTATAAAGGTCTTGATTATCAAGCAAATTCTCTTTATTGGTGCAATCAGAAACTAATTGGGAAAAGAATGTGGAGATTATGTTGATAAGGGGCTAATATTCTTGTTAACCAACCTTGCTTCCAAAGCGTTTGTTCAAAGGCTTGACAACAGTGCTGGCTAAAACTCCTGTTACCAACACGACCAAAGGAAAATATGCAATAGATTCCTGTGAGTTGAGAAAAACACCAAGCTTAGATCCGATAAGCCTGGATGGCGGGCTGACCCAGTTTCTGAGAACTCGCCTTATCTCTAAATCCTTTGAAAAATTTTCGATGCGTTCGTATGAGAGGGCGGCCTAGCTCGGTTGCCGAGATCTCGGTTCTTCCAACCGGGATCTCCGTAAGCGGGCTGGAAAATCAGTTTGCCTTAAGAACATGGGATGTAAGTGGGATGAATTCTTCGCAATAGCGTATGCCTTGATGGATTTGTCTGCTGTACTTCCACAGCTATAACAGTTTCCAAAGCTATGATAGGCGCGAAAGAAACTTTCTGTTAACCATGTTTGCTTTGTTTCTCGAATTTCGAGGCACAGGTCGTTCTCGGGATCTTGGGCCTTTTCTCATCATGGAAACGGGGCTCACAATTCTTATATGAACCAAAGGCAAAATTCGTCGCGGTAACCGGGCCAGCCCGGTAAAACAGGCCATGTGAAGAGGCCATTAGCGACTTTTCCTTAAATTTATCAGGTAACATTTTAAAGTCGTCGAGACGTGTCCTTCATCGTTGACGTAACGTTAAAGTTTTGACAGCTATGTTTTCAAATTCTCGCTTTCATAACTTGCAGATTTTTTTTGCTACCTAAGCATCCTTTTATACACAAATCAAATTTTTTTATTATATTTCCACGATTTATACGGGTTTTAAGCAAAATAAATAGTTTTAATTAATTAAAAATGGTTAATCCAAGATGGCGGATGGTAATTTTTCATAATAAATGACGTCATCATGACATCGCTACTATTATTTTAGATAATTTACCTGTTAGCCAAATTCCTGCTTTTATCAGACACATTACTATTTAATGCTACTTTGAGGGGAATTTAAATTTTGCCAATACATTCAATAATATAACGACATAATGACATAGGAAAAACGAATAACTTCTATAGTCCTACCTTCTCAAATCGCATCGTCTCTGTTAAGTAGAGAGGTAAATATGACTGCGACACGTTTACATACAAACGAGTACAAATGTAGACAACGCCAACCTGGAAAAACAAAAACAAACGTTCATTCAAACTTTAGCCTGCTTTTTGGCAACAAAAAGTCGTGAGCCACAAAAAAATAAATAGGTAATTAGAGGAACTGTCCTAAAAAATAGTAAAATGAAGCCCAGCAAGGTAAGAAAAGTATCTCTAATCATGTGTTTACTAGCCATGTTTAAGGGTGGATCTCGATTTGGTTCAGGAGATGCCTAGTTTAATCTTCTGATATAGTTTAAAGTTACCTGCAAGGGGCAAGTTATTGACTGTTTTCTTAGCACAGCTAAGCATTAGGCCTCCATACAATGCTACAATGCTTCTTCCTTTACAAGAGAGTCATAGTGGAAGTATGATGATGCCATGACGTTAAACATCTACCGAGCTCAGTGAAGCCGGGTCAAGTCGTCATTCGTGCTAAGTGGTTCTTTAGGTCGAAGCTTAACTCAGTTTTTATTTAACAGGAACTAGAACGACTAGGTGTATTTCTATTACCCCTTGGACAGGATACGAGCCCATCGCATGGCCACCCCATGCATTAACTTCACTGGTACCCAATTACACCCCTAGGTGGAGTGTCAAGCACTGTGAGAGTAAAATGTCTTGCCCAAGAACACAATCCACAATGAACCTGACAGGGTCTGAACCCGTACCTCTCGATACGAAGTCCAAAGCACTAACCACTGTACCAGTGCGCCTCCAAGAAGTGATGTGTAACGGCGAGGAAGGATAAAACGTTATTAGCAGTAAAATATCTTGAATAATGAATACCAGTTGGACCTCCCTAGATTGCGAGCCTCTTACTTCTTTTTAACGTTACAGGAAATGTCTAACAAACGTAACATAAAGGCGGGCACCGCGCCGGCGGATCCTCGAGGAACGAACTTGAAGCATTAACCGCATTGTTAGGCGAACGTGTGCTTGCTGGGATAACTCGTCTTACCCCCAGATGGTCCGATTTTGAATAACCACAATGCTTTGCGAAAGTGCTTTCTGGGTGTCGTTGGGATAACTCGAAGGATTGTAAGAGAAACGTCGGCTGTCCTAGATCCCTAGATCCCCTCTGTTTAATAAGTATTAAGCGAAATTCTATGTTTCAGGTAGTAATGGGCCAAAAGTCGAACTTTTCATGAGACGAACCAAACTTAGTAAGTTAAAAAAGTAGGTTGAGTTTGATCGTCCGGGTGAACGTAGTCCTGAATAGGACTGTTGTTGTTGACAGTGACTGACGTTTCAACAACCTGTGCGGTAGTCATCTTTGACTCTGAAGATGACTACCGCACGGGTTGTGGAAACGTCAGTCACTGTCAACAACAACAGTCCTATTCAGGACTACGTTCACCCGGACGATCAAACTCAACCTACTTTTGAAATGACTCCTGGGTTCAAACCTTTCACAGTTTTAGTAAGTGAAGTTCATGAAACGTTCGACGTCTGCTTCAGACGGATAGACCGTCTAAAGATCGTCTTCGGGACAAACGTCGATCTTAACACGCGACGAACTACACTAATGAATTAAAAATTTGTATGATAATGTATATTTAGCCTCGTTCGCGAGAAACTTTATTACTGATCTGATTCAGTTGATTGGTTTGACGCGTCTTAAGTTCAATGTCTGACCCAACAGACGATCTTAACTTAATTTAGGTGAATGAATGAATGAACAACCCCATTATTGTGTCAAAATCTTCTAGCTGGCTACAAGTAGCCTACAAATCGGGGACACCAGTGTCTCAGTGATTGACACCAATTTAGGTCAACCCAAATAAGACGATTTGGTTCGTCTCGTGAAAAGTTCGACGTTTGGCCTAGGCCTAGGCCTAAGAAAGCGATTCATCAAGCGGAATACCACACTTCCAGTTGCTCAGTATTTATGCCAAATGGAATGTCAGCGTTCTCCAGCGTTCTCTTTATATGCTTTAATTTGCTTAGAGCTTCAAAAAGTATAATTAATTACAAACCTTATACAAATCAGGACTACAGAGCCATTGTTTTTTGGTTTTCTCGCCGTTATGAAGAGGACCTCTGTCGATAATTTCATGAGAAATTTGCTGAGTTCTTTCACAATCAACACTCGTCTGAGACTGAGACTCCGGCGCTGCAGCCACGCCACCATAACTAGCAATCTCCTTTTCCTCATTCTCACGTATCGTCATGACAACAGCAGGCGATGCTCCACTTCTCCTATTGACCGAGGGGGGCTGGTACACAACCCTCGTCAGTAAGGCTACAGGAAAATCAACAATAATGTTTTCTACTTAGTTCTCTGCCTTTCGATCACTGCATCTTTTACGCAACTACCTCACATGAAAAAACATTTTATTATGGTTTCTGAAGGCATCTGAGACGTCAAGACAGCTTGGTACATAACGGAATCTTAAATATAAGGACTGTCCAGTACAGCCAAAATTTGACAAATTAAATTTATCGTTTCCTCTCTTTTTGAAGACTTCTTTTCCCTAAATCTTACTAAAACTAATTAAGCGCTGTGGCCATTAATAAAAACCGGCCTAGTACCTAAGATTATTCAAAAAACACGGGAGCAAACACGCGTCTATATTTCGGTGTCAAAGTCCGCGGTGACACAGCAGTTTTCCGTTAGGATCTCGGAAAAGAATGCTTCATCGTGAATCAAATTTGCGGAAAAGATTTTATTAAAACAATTTCAACTGCTGTAGAAGACTTTCGAGTAAACCTTGTTAATTCAAAAGCGAAGTGTTTACCTTTTCGTTGGCTGTTATTCCGACCAAATTTGCTGTTTTTGTGTTTTCCATTTTTTCGTCCCTCAAGCCAGCGAAGTAAAGCGTCGGAAGGAGGTTCTTTGATGCCAACATGGAAAATGACGTTAAATACTGTGCCCGTGCCAACAACTATGAAACCAAGATACTAAAAAAGAAACGGAAAAAAATCATTTCATGGACGCATGGTAAGGTTAGCTGCGAAGCTGAGCTTGGAGCACTCTTTAATACTTAGTTAGCGCAAGAGACCTTCAGTCAGTAGTTTCGAGAACGAGATTTAACTTAAAGTTTTTTCGCTTAAATGTATATTCTCAAAAAACAGATACCCTGGAAAGCTTTATTATAATTTTTTTCACCGGAAAAGTTTGCATTGATATTTTTATTGGAGGCTTAAGCCTTCTCCAGATCCCAAAATGATAATACTTCTAACAGTTGATAACTTGTTTCCTCTTTTACGACATTCTAGCTAAAACCCGCAGTATAATGACGACGGCTCCGCTATTACGTTTTTCCGCCAATGACGCTGGTTCACGCGCTTGTTTTAGAATCTAAAGGTCTCTGTTGTGCATTCGTGGTCCTCGTCGCACTCTCGACCCTCGCGAGTCCTTTCAGAGATTAGAGGACGTGATAACATGAACGTTCGCCAGTTTAAGATGGGTCGGATCAAAACTGAATAATTGGATAATACAATTCTAGAGCTCTGATTGGCTTAGCCATCATGGTATATAAGCCATTTTACCATGCTCTTTAAATCTGGTAACTGTACGCGTGTGCTCAAAATTAAAAAACAAGCTGAAAATCGGTTGTTTTTACAAATAAAGTCAGGAAGAATTCTAGATATTTTGTGGGTGTTTTTAATAAAACATTATTCCACAACGCTTGTTGGGTATGACATGATTATAGCCAACTCATATCCAACGCGCACTCGTGGAATAATAGTTAATTATCCTCTCCCCTCTTGGTTTGGCGGGGAAAGGTTTGGCTGAACAGTGAGGTTTCAGAATGACCGTAGCCTGCAAAAATATAACCGTTTCTCCGCGCCTCTCGCCGGTAAAAATATCCCTAGCGAAGAGAAGAGAGAAGAGACACCTGTTTTTGCAGGGTAGAGTGACCAAGAAATTGTGAAAGTAACTTACCATAAATTGCTTCCACATTGTAGACGAGATATTCGCTTCCGAGCTTCTTCCCAGCAGAATCCATGTCACGGCAAAAACAAAAATTCCGCAGACGAAACGCAAAGCTGATCTGTTAACAAATGAGGTAGGAAAAGGTATTTTCAGTTATTAAGTGCAGCGTAGAACATGACCTTTTTTCTAAACAACGAAAACCGCTCAATAAAGCCCTCCTCCTTCCGTATGGGAACTGGTTATGTCGAAAACATATTTGGTTGAACTATCCTTTAGTTTGCTCTCTGCATTAGTCAGGGAAAAGATTCTACTTTAGCCAGTTCTTGGGGCAAACTTTTCCATAGGAGAAAATAACCTCCACAACAGGCGTCATTTAGGGAGCTGAGGGAAATTTTCTGCAAGACAGGGAGCGTTAACTAAACATCTACACTTCATTTGGGCTATTCAGGCAAGGGGAATTAAAAGGTCTATACACGTCACAAGGGTATTGCTGTTTTAGGCCAATTCTGTGCCGAAGTCATTAACCCGTTAAGTCCCAATAGTGACCAAAACCAATTTTCTCTTAACGATATCCATACATTGTCAAGAGATTTGGTTGTGAGAATTGATAAAATGAACACCTACTGCTTTGCTTTGATCTTTTATCAAATTCTCTCAACTCATTCTTTAAGGAAATATATAAAGATCAGTTTGGAGAATTTGTATGTGGATATAATGGGACTTAAAGGGTTAATTAGTGCGTTAACCCAAACAAAAAATGCTCATGAAGAAGATATCAAACAAGTCCATACGGGGGCATAAAGTTGAGCTTCGATCCATGTCCCTCCTCGCCATCAGTAGAAACAGTTTCAATGGTGCTTAAATTAAGTGTTAAAAACCAAAACTAGACTAGTATTTTTCGGAATTCAGTCGATAAGAAGAAGCATTTTTATAAACTGAAACCTCTATTAAGCGGACCCCCAATTAAGCGGACACTGAGCGGGGTCCCGAAATTAACGTCTGATATTTCCCTTTATAATGAACCCCTATTGAGCGGACGGGGACACTAAAATGAGTTGTATTTCGCTAAAACCTCTATTAAGCGGACACCAGACTGAATTGACAATAGTAATATTGGATTACGTCCATGAAATACGTACTTTAGTCGATTAAGAAAGGTGAATAAATACATTTAGCTGTCAAAAGTTCACCTAAAAGTCTTGCACAAAGTACAGCACAGCTTCCTTAGCTTCCTTAACAACATGGAACTTAGTCACAGTACAGAGTAACCGTTGAATGCTAATCATTAACAAACACTGCGTAATTTTTACAATCTCCATTAAGCGGACACTTGGGAAGGTCCCAAAGGTGTCCGCTTAATAGAGGTTTCACTGTATTAGCTTTTCAAAAAAAAAGCAAATAGTGTCATACAGCCCCTTTAACTGCCGCTTTTCTAAGATCCTGTTTACATGGAGTGGGGGACCCCGGTCTAGCGGGGTAGGTTTCTTTTGTTTTGTGTCCCCCAGAGCGTGAAAACTAAAGAACCAACCCCACTAGACCGGGGTCCCCCACTCCGTGTAAACAGGCCCTAAGATTGTTTTTTGTGCTATCGGGGCAGAGTGAAAAAAAAAAAACAAATAAATACGCTGGGGCAATCACCTTTCTTTATGATAAAACGATGTTAATGTATAATCGATTAAATAAAATTCATGCTAAACGCTTTCTTTCGCTTTCATGCACTTTACCCTCTTCTGTTATTTACAAATTTTTAACTCCCAGTGTCCGATATACCGCAGAGGACATGATATACGTATGATATGCAGTTCCAACTTTTAGAATTGTGGATGAGATCTGACCATTCAGCTGACCATTTAAATGAAAGCTGCTAAAAAGTACTTTCAACTTTAACTTCATCTTTCTTATGTCTTCATTCTTGCAGTATTTACAGGTGATCTTGTAGAAATAACACAATATGATACAACTCTTAAGAGGAGATGAACTGTATGGAATATAATCAGAAATGAAAACAAACAACTGCTGCAAATGAGTGTACATTGACCATAGTAGCCATTGGCTTTCAAGCCGCGTGTCACCACCATGTGGCTTCAAACCTCAAAAATACGCAATATGTTACTACAGGGTGTATTAGATTTTCATCAGTTTTCAGTAAATCAATTTTAGGATCTTTCTCATATTTCGATGTTGGTTACAACAAAGGGCTAAAGCTGCTAAAGGTTAATCCTTCAATTTGCACGTGAAACTGGATTTTTTTTGTGTCGAGCTGCATTATGGGACTGTTTTGAGGGTCGGCTTTTACGAGACTAAAACAAAAATTGGTCTAAACTCAACCCCCGCCCCCTTAAAAAGCCCCATAGTGCAATTCGACACCCAGGGCGCATCCCCCACAAGTAATCCGATTACTGCCGAATCACTACGAAATTCCGAATTTGACGTTACTATGCATATTTTCGCGCACGTGTGAGAGTCTTGGCAAAGCTGACTCATGCATGGTGGTCCACAACTTCCGTAAAGGTCACAAGAAATGCACACCCAAAACTACAACTGAGAGAATGATACGCAGATTGATAGGCTAAAGTTCTGATCATTAGAGTGCTGCGCTTCCAGCCATAATAATTTCTTTCACTTACTTCAGTCTAAAATAATCCCCAACATAAAATCAACAGTTTTTCATCAGATATATCAAATTCACATACATGCAGTCCTACACGTCCAAAATGCTGTCCAAATCGCGTGACGGATCCGTGTCCGTTCTGCCCTTGCAAGGTAGTTTATCTCCCATGGAGAGTTTTCTAAGCTCTCACGTAGCCCGGATATCCAAAGTGTAACAACTGATCCTAATACATGGTTTCTCTGACTACTGTGAGTTTCAGACTCAAAAACCTGAATTTTACTCGTTTATATACATTTTTTCCAAAACTATTTTTTTTTTTTCTGAGGCGTCTTAGGAATCATGTATCAGGGTTCAAGAGACCAAGTTCACCGAGGAAATTCAAGGATGTCCGTCCAAGGAAATTTTGCATCGTATGCCTATCGAAACGGAAACTACCCGATGTAATTTTACCCCCAAACTGATTTTTTGGAAACGACTTGTTGGGAAGAAGTCACGATTTCTTTTGGTTTCATGTACTTTGATCACCAAGTTTCCTGTAAACATAACCTTTTCACTCCTAAAAGTTGGTCAAAGCAAAAATTCCCCAAAAAATCCAGAGAAAATTAATACCACTTTTAAAAATATTTACGCAAAAGAGGCTTAAAATTGAATGGTAACATTATAGGATATCTAGAGTGATAAATTATCCCGCCATAAATTGGGGGTCTAGGGATAAGAGGGGAAACAACGAACTGACAGAGAATAGGAAGACTGAATCATCCCCTGAATTAGTCATTGGATGATTTCAATAAGCGAGAATTTTTACGAATGATTGGGAGACCCTTGGGACTTGACCTTTTTTAATGAAATGAATACGTACAAGCATAAATGTATTTGTAGCCGTATGGCTAACTATCGGTCATTAATTAATAATTACACTGTCAGCATAGTGCACGACAGCGCGAGATGACTTTGACGTAACTAAGGAGTTTCGGTCGCTTTCACGTTTTAACGTAAAAAAAACATTAGCAAAGTAGAAGGAGAGTTTAGAAAATTTATCCTCGTTAGGCGTCCGTCAAATTTCTTAATCATAGTGGGTTTCCTGTTTCCTTTACGTCTTTTTGTTTATTTTTTTTATTTTTTTTTTTTCAGTCTCTTTAGAACGAAGAATTGCAAATATAACGAACGATATAGAGTAGCTTGAGGCGCGATATAGATCAGAACCCCATCCAGACCCTGCGCTTCAAGTTCAACAAACAACGTTTGCAATTATTTCGAAACTGAAAAATAAAGGGAAACCTAAATGACGCATTAGGACCACATAGGTACAAAATACTTCGATTTCAATCTCGCTGAGTGAAAGCAATCACACGGACTTTGTTCTGCGTTGCTCTTAGTCATGGTTCGCTAGTTTTCTACAACAAACTATATAGGATATGCGGCAGTTGAAGAAAAAAACCCTTTCCTCTTTATATTCTTAGTCCTGTTTCCTTTGTCTTCTAAAGTACACAGCGAGTACATGACAATAGGAATTTTTAGCCTTAAGATCCAAACTGAAAGTGCACGTTTTTGTATTGTTTCGTAATGTTATGTTGATATTACAGAATGTCATCGAAATACACCTTTCAAAGTCAGTATGGGTTAAAAAGTCAGTGCCCGCCTAACAAAAGGGGTCGAAAGATGGGCGAAATTTTAAAACAGTAATGGATTTATTGCAAAAGTCAATTAACTGATAAATCCAATGTACCAAATTTAATTAAAGCAGCAGTTAACAACATTCAAATTTATTCAGCTAAATCTGTTTGAAGATAAATAAATATTGCACAACACAGGGTATTGTTTCAAACGGAAAACCACTTCTTACCTTATTGCATTTAGTTCAACTTTCTCCGATTCTCTAATAGCAATCTCTGGAATCAACGAAAGATGGCTAATTTGCACGCATCCCCAGCCAAACTGAAACACCGCAGCTATGCTAATATAATAGGCCAGCTTGAGTGAGGCGCTTACTCCATCCCCAAGTAAGCGAGTGAATAACAGTGGAAAGGTTATACTGACACATATCGTGCCGATGAGATGCCAGATTTTTCTTCGTCCGTAACGACATACTGTTTTATCGTTTAATATTGCAGTGATTGGTGTACAAATCCCATCTGTAACTTGTCCTAGCATAGCTACCAGTCCCGTATGGCTATTCGACAGGCGAGCCACTTTAGTAAGGTAGATAATCAAGTAGCTGAACCATGCATTTGCAGCGAGGTCATTCAAAATGTGTCCAACGCCGTAACAAAATTTCTGACTGACCGGCAGCTTGTGTCCTTTTGTGGTGGCAGTTTTTTCTTTACGACGAAAGCAGCGACACAGTAGATCCATAGTCCGTGTTCACAACCAAATGCACCGTTGAAACAAGGGAAACTGCTTATGGAAAAGCCTTGCGTCGGATAGCCTGTCTTATTTGAACGTAACTCCCGCCCGCTGAGCACGAGAAAGCGTTCTTGTGATTAGGGCACTTGTTGCGTCATAACCACCGGAAGTGGCATTCGGCAGTTATCGAGTGGCGTGATCCACTTACAGTCTTTCAAAAGTTTATTCGTCCCAGGCTCTCATCAAATGTCATCTTAGCCTGCCATAACATGTTTGTGATTAGCTGGGAAAACAAGAGGGATTGTCACATAACAATGCCCCTATCCCTGAAAACAATGAAAGTACAGATTAAAGGAGGCCTATGAAATACACTGTGGCTATATAGCCGGTAACCGGCCAAGGTTTTCAAAACACTAAATGACTGGCAGTCCTATATTCTCAGTAAATTTCACAAAATCGAAAAATTCCAGCTTATCTAAGTTATCGTATGTCGATTAAGAAAAGTCAAGTCTAGCGTTACGCTGGGCTCAGAAGACGAAACCATGTTTTGTAACACTTATAACTTTTTTCAGGTCGACTGCCGGTCAAGATTGTCAAAACACCAAATGACCGGCAGTCTACCCTGCTCAGCAGAGTCGCTTCGATCTTTCCTAGGTAAGTCGGGAGAGAGGAAAGAGGAAAGCGGAAAGCAGAAAGAGGAAAGAGGAAAGAGGAAAGAGGAAAAAGGAAAAAGGAAAGAGGAAAGAGCAAGCTGGAAAAAGTTCTAAGTGTCACAAAGTAAGTGTCTAAGCGTCTGAGCCCAGCGTAAACCAAACGCTAAATTTGAGATCCGTAAAGCGTTTCAGGATCGCTTGACTTTTTTTAATCGACATATGATTGTTTAGATTAGATGAATTTTTTCGATTTTTCAAATTTATTGAGAATATAGGACTGCCGGTCATTTAGTGTTTTGAAAACCTTGACCGGCAGTCGACCTGAAAAAAGTTTGAAGTGTCACAAAACATGGTTTCGTTTTCTGAGCCCAGCGTAAACCCTGAATGCTAGACTTGAGATCTATAAAGCATTTCAGGATCGCTTGACTTTTCTTAATCGACATTTGATAGTTTCGATTGGTTGGGATTGTTAGATAAGTCAAATTAATTTTATTGAAAATGCCAGACTGCCGGTCATTTAGTGTTTTGAAAAGCTTGACCGGTTACCGGCCATATAACCACAGCGTATGAAATAAGAGGTTTAGAACGGTGCAGGTCTACCCTAGTCACGCGTCTCCACCCATGACATTTCAGACTTTCTCAACCTCCGTTCAAACGCGCTGTGGAACCCAGGGCCTTTCTGGTGATTCTCGATTAAACATGGCGGACAAATCGCGGGAAGAAGTGACGACGATCGACGACGACGAATTTTGCATCCCTAAACCTTCATGACTCACATTTGACAAATTATTCGGCTCTGTAGTGCAAGGATGGATAGTGAACGGTAACTATTGCAGGTTATAGGAACAGAAAAATTTATAGCTCAAGTTGAGATGTTGATCACCTGGACATATGCTGAAGAGCAGGCGTACTGTCCCTGGTTAGCCCCCTATTTTGGAGTCATTTAGCGCCCTTCAAATGTAATATTCCTCTTTCTTGAAGCCATAAACAAAAACAAGCACGCTTGAAATATAATATTCCTCGTTCTAAAATAGCAGGCTAAGTAACCGGCGCGAAATGACCGTAAACGCTTAAACGGTACCCTGCAAGCAGATGGGTTTACGGTTATCTCGCCACGAAACCGAACCTCTCATCTTTAGTTTTATTTTTTGTGAATAATTGCGACTTTTTCATACCTTAATACAGCTTATTTGTATCGCTCAAGAGGTGCGATTTGTTTAAAATCCAACAGCCTTTCTTCTTGGTTAATATTGTCACTGTCGAACCTCACCTCCTTAAATTTCATCGTAAATCTAAAGTGAATGAAATCTTTTTAGAGACTTGTCCTTTCAATTAGTATTAAGATAATTATATATTTCTTGGTGGCGAGATGATTTGGTGGCGAGGTGTTCAGATGCCAGCAGAGGCTCTTTAATCTCCCTAGATCTAGGAAGATCGAAGGGCCTCTGCTCGCAGGGAGAAGCAGACATAAGACTTCCTGTAATTGTCTGAGGCCCAAATTTCCTCCGGTGTCATGTTTGACTATGAATTTCCCTGCTCATAAGACATAGTTTTTCCCGTTCAAGTGAAAGAGTAATAATTTCTAAGATGTGTAAGGTTTATCTATTTTATGCAGAACTTATGAACCCTTTATATAGCCATGTCTACACTTTTGACATGCCAGGCTTAGTAATCAATGTGAACTATTTACTATAAAATAACTAGGCTCAAGTCATCGTCACCTGCTGCTATACAGGATGAAGTGTTCTTCACTCATGAAAGCTACAAGAAATATTCGTGTCTTCCATCCTTTGTGGAGTTCCTTGACAAACATCTTAAAGCAACCAAAGATGGCGGCAGTGATATTGAAAGTAGTTATGGTAACAGTTCCATAACGGATTTACCATTCATGTCTGAGGGGTACAATGTCCAAGGTGCTAATAGGATTGGTGCTGAGGGAGATAGATCAAATAGCACCCCAGCTTCTGTTGGTCCTCAAATGGAGTTCCCATTTGTTTCAAAAGTCAGTATTGAAAGCCAGAAATTATTGATGGAAACTCTTCAGATGATCAAGTGCAGGGAGCTGGCCAAAGTAGATTTAGAGAAGATGCAAACTGTTCAGGTATAAACAATGATTGCTGTTGAATTTTGCTAATACATTATGACCACTCTGTTTATACAACCACCTAGTTATTATGACCAAAATGACCCAATAGTAAAAAACACTGTTCTTTATAATACCTCGTGAATACAACCATGCACCTTATCATTATGGCCTGGCATTAATGGCAAAGAGTTGGTCAGATTAATAGGGGTTCACTGTACTTACAACTCTAACTACTCCAGGTTGCTTGTAAGTTATGTAGCTACATTGCAGTGTAACCCTTTAAGTCCACGTAATGACCAATATCAATAAATTTTCTCCTGATGATATCCATACATTGTCAAGAGATTGGCTTATCAGAATTAATAAAATGATCACTAAAGAGAAAATGCCTTGATCTTTCATCAAATTCTCTCAACCCATTCTTTAAGAAGATGACATTGTAAGGAGATCAGTTTGGAGAATTTGTATTTGGATATTGGGGCTTAAAAGGATAAGTCAATTCCAAGAGCACCCATCACCCCTCTCCCTCATCCTGATTTGTCCTTTTACCAAAAAGGAAGGGGGGGCTTCAATATGAAAATTATAGGGATGCTCATCATCTCATGAAGGGGTAGAAGTTACGGATTTTGGTGTCACTTACGGTGTTCAAGATGGAAAGCCAATGTTTTTACCCATAAAATTATCTCCCAGGGTTGTGGGTAAAGAAATTATCTGTATAAAAACATTGCTGCTGACAGTTTGACTGTGTCCCTATCTCTTTAATATGGGAGTCCCCCCCTCCCTCCCCTCCCCCAGTGACATTTGACATGTAGGTTAATATTATTATGTACTTAACATTCTGGTTTCTTTACCTTCCAAATCTTACAGTTAAACTGGGAAAACCATGAACACCAGAAATATTTCTGTAATGTCATTGTGTTACAAGAAAAATGCGAATTGGGCGTGAGAAAACTGAACCGCAAGCAAGAACTTTAATTAGTTTGTGGTTTTTGTGGCTAGTTTGCATGTCCTGATCTTTACTGTGATTGGTCAAAACACAGTTCCTGAGATATTGCAAGTGTTCATGGTTTTCCCGGTCGCACTGTAATAACCATTACTGTTCACTGTTTACAGGATCTAAAGATTAAAGTTTTAACAGAGCAAGAAGAATTCCAAAAGTTTGTTTACAAACATGCTAAAGCCAACCACCACCTTTACAACTATATTCACCCTAATGGATGGGACTACTTCAAGGTAATTACATTAAGTTTGTGTTATCTCCCAGCCATTTACTTACTGTCATACATCTCTCGTAATGGAAATTAACCTCTGCATGTTTGATATTTTCAATCCTGGGGCCTCAGTGTTTCTGGAAAGTCCCAGTAACTTTTCAGGCCCGAAAAGCTGTTTTATGTTGGCCATGTTTGCATTCAAGATCAAAGTTTCAGTAATTTTGAAAATGATACTTGTAACAATGAAACTGCCAGTTAACGAAGCAAAATTGAAAAGTTTGTGAGCTAGGAACTTTGCTACTATTCAACAGGTGCTGATTTTAAAATTTCCATTTAGGTCCGAACGTTATTGGGCCTTTCGAGAAACGGACCCCTGTCTTGTTAGTTACCACGTTAAACAAATTATTTATTTATTGTGTTTTTAGGCAAAAACTGAAGAAAAACTGATGGAGGTCAATGCTCATTATCCTGTGAGTTTTTCTGCTTATGGTTTCACTTTATTTCAACAAGTCATCAGTTATTTGAAATATAGAAAACAATTTACTGCTGGAATGCACTACTTCACATGTAATATTTTTTATTATTATATTACCACCAATGAAATACCAGGTGAGCTTTCGTGCAAAAACATGATATCTTCACATGTGAAAATAACATGTTATCTTCACACGTTAAAAGATCACCGTTGCTATGGCTGTGTAATAAATTGCTGCTTTCACAGGAAAAAGCTATTAAAGTGAAATGGTTTGGTATTTCGTATAATAAATAGAACATTACATGGTCACTTGGAGATATGAAATTTCTCTTCTCGTGTTGAAAATATTTCACTCATGAGCGATTATTCACCACTTGAAGAGAAATTTTGTATATCTGCGTGGCCATGTACATGTAATATCTGCTTATCTCTGCTTAAAGTCAAAATTGATAAATTTTTTAATTACAGTGCCCATTCAAGGGTCTCCTCTAAGAAAAATTGAAGGGAGTCCAGTGCTCTGTACCTGTGAAATCCAGGGTACCCAGCATATGATATCTATGAAAAACAAAGATTTCCCAATCACACGAGAGACAAAGCAAGTCATTAGGGGCCACCGGATACTGCTAGAGCACAGCTCTTCCATTATATTACTATACTAATTTATTATAATTGCCCATTCAAGGGTCTCCTCTAAGAAAAATTGAAGGGAGTCCAGTGCTCTGTACCTGTGAAATCCAGGGTACCCAGCATATGATATCTATGAAAAACAAAGATTTCCCAATCACACGAGAGACAAAGCAAGTCATTAGGGGCCACCGGATACTGCTAGAGCACAGCTCTTCCATTATATTACTATACTAATTTTATTGGCTGGTGTATTTCTATTTGTAGCAACAGTATTCTCTACAGGAAACCATTGGCTTGGCTGTGGGAGCTGTATTTAAATCTGATGCAGTGTTGACTTTTGAGCAAACTTTACTGCAAGTGGTGAGTTTTCAATTAAAATAAATAATAATTACAGTCATCATCAACTGGAGATGGATTGCTTACATGCATTCACAAAGTACTTGTAACTTGTACCTCAAAGCTTAAATTATGACTCTGAACAGAAAAATGATTTTTACAAATACATGTACAATAATCGAAAACAAAGCTTATGTCTATTTTATGATTTTAACTGGAAAATTTGGTGCATGTAAAGAGATGGTTAAAAGGTCTGAGTAAAATGTTGAATTTATTAAACAAAATAATGAAGTGATGGTGTCAAAAAATTTTGAAACAGGAAAAGTAAATCACGTCATGTAGGAAGCTATTAAATAAATGGTCTTTGATGTACAGTGTTCCCTAAATCATTTATATTTTTTCTTTCTTTTTCTTTTCCTTTTTTTTTCTAACACAGGGGAATGTACCATTGCTATCTCCTCCTGCAAGTACCGGGTTATTGCTTTCTGAAGTCACATCTAGTTTAAAACAGAGATTGAAAACACCTACTACACAAACAAGCAAGGTAATGTATGGACACAGCAACAGGATTTCATCAACAGACTTAAAAGTTACAACATAATAAACAGTACCACAGGAAAGTACTGCTCAGTAGCTTTCACTTGAATGGTCACACCATAGGATTTTGTCTACAGACTCAAAAATTAGAACCACCTTGTACAGCATAATAAATAGTACCACAGACAAGTACTGCTCCGTAGCTTTCATTCATTGAATGGTCACACGCAAGGATTTTATTCTAATTCTTGTTACAGAATCAAAAGATAGAACCATATTACATTTCTTTACAATTGACTTTGGAATTTCTGGAATTAACCATCCAACGATATGTTTCGTCATAAAGAAGAAAATTACTTTCCATTTTAGCCTGAATGCCATACTGTACATGTTATAGTCGCTGTTTTCAAAGGGACCATGTTTAATTTTTTAATGCAAATGTGGAGCAGTTGGGAAAGCATAATTTAAATATTGGTCTATTCCAAATGAGAGAATTTGATAGTCTCGACATAAAAATTTGTAGTTCATATTTTTTTTACCTTTTGTACTTCCCATTCCAGGTTGTGAGTGAGGATCCTGTAGCTATGGATTTGGCAAGAAAGCATAAAGTTGATATTGTGATTTCTTCCAGTGGATTGAACACTCTTCTGGATAATCATGCCCCTGACTATGGAAAACAGTGGCAATTGCCTGTCACCGTTCAGCGGCTGGAAGGTTCGGTTTTGCTACATACAAGTTCCTAGATTTTTTAAAACCATCATGAATTAGTTCAAGATTGTGGTAAGCTGGCCACTTACGTCTGTCTGTGCTGAGGCCCTGTTAGCGAGTGTGTGAAGGAGGGGGGAGGGGGTGGTCAAGTGTGTCTAACTTCTCCCCTAACAAAGCATTTTGCCTTAAGTATGAAGCTAGTGTGAACATTGGTTCTGGGGAGGGGTACCCTGGGTGCCAGAGACTTTTCTAGCGCGATTTCCGGTTTCTGTCAAGCTAATCACAAACATAAAGATGACAACGTTTTTCAGTTAATGGCCATTCTGTCTATTTGATTGAGTGTAACAAAATTCCCCTCAAAGACTGTAAACGTCCAGCATGTAAGTCGCAGTTTTGGATCATTCGTGTAATCGGGGCAGAAAACCATGTGATTTGAGTCCCATTAAAGTGTATGTATGCGTGCGGTTTGGTATGTACTCGTGACTTCATTCTTTTTCCTTAATATTGGCAAAAAGCTCAAATGGAGACAGAGAGTTCGGCATTCTTGCCATCCTTTAAGAATTAACATTCTTCTTGAAATTCGTCATGCTGGAATAAAAAAATCGGCCTAAATAAGGGCAATGCTAAACTTTCCAATCGTTTTAGCTTCCTGTCATTTTTGCTTTGGACAAAATAACGCTACACAATATCCAAAACAGAGGCTCAAATGACGATCATACTCAACCTACTTATGAAATGACTCCAGGGTTCAAACCTCCCACAGAAAGTACGTGTACAGGGAAACTTGTATTAGGCGGACAGCCGCGGGAAGCTCCAATATCAACAAACAAATTCCCCAGACTGATCTCCACGCATTTCCCTTAAAATTAGTTGAGAGAATTTGATTAAAGATCAAAGAATTTTCCCTTTTTTGATCGTTTCATTAATTTTCATAACCTTTTATCGTGCACCGTGGATACGAGAGGGCAACCTCGTTCCCAGGGTCTCTCCTACCCGCCCGTCCGTAGGGTGGGTTGGAGAGAACCCTGGGAACGAGGTTGACGAGAGGGTTCTTTCTTGCGTGCGTGGGTTTGCCTAGATATGGGCTCAGGCCGAATCCACAAGCGGCAAACCCGCGAAAGTCACCGGAAACCGCACGTAAACCGACACCCAAGGTAGGTTAGTCTTCGCAAGGACAAAACTGCTGATACTGCTCGTTGATTATGACTGTCGGTATGCGCAAGATATTGGATATGACGTGGAATAGTTTCGCTAGGTACGACTGACATGAACCTTCGGCTACAATAAAATCCCATAGGGGAGTAAAATAATTCTCTGGTGGTGATATTTTGGCCAAATTGCCCACCAATGGCTCCACAGGAGGCTAAATCTCGTTTTTTTTTTAACTCACAGTATTTGACTTGTTCTTTTTTTCCTTCTCTGCTGTAGGAGCACAAGGTCATTCCAGTAACCAGAGAGTGGTTTTCATCGACAAATCTCTTCCACCGCAAAACATCGATCCTCGCTTAGTTAACTGGAAGTACTTCAAGTATGCTTTACGGAAACTGCTTTGCACAAAAACTGGCCCGCAAAACACAACGTTAAAAACAGACAAAACTGAAGAGGACAAAAGCGTCACTGCTGCGGCTCTTTCAGAGCACAACACCAGAAAGCGCCAAGCGGTGGAAGAAGAAAACGAGCTCCAGGAACTGAAGAAACCCAAAGTAGCTAAATCGTCGTCAAGTCCAGAAATTAACCCTTGTGAAAGAGAGAGAGATTCGTCCATTACAGACGAAACAAGAAGGTACTTTGTTTACAATCTGTGGAGATTTGGGAAGCTTAAGATTTTGATTCGCTGCAGTGTAGATGCATATAGATCAGATCCTGACAAACAGAACTCCTTTACTTTCTTCAACGTGCTTCCTAAACTTGAATACCTGCCTTCGCTTGGACATGAAAAGCTTACACGTAGTGAGACGGCGCGGTTATGGCTTCACGGATACACTCGTCCTCAGACGAAAATCATGTGTGGAAGAATCAACGTATTTAACTCAGCATTATTACGAGTTGACGAGCTGTCTCCAAACGATGTTTTACAGCAAGGAACGGATTTTAACCCGGCTCAAGGGATGAAAATGGTGTTTCAAATTTTTCAAGCTCTCATGCGACTTCCTGAGTCCAAGTTCATACTATCTCACAAGTCCGGAGAACTTCATAGCTGTTTGTACAAGAGTTTTGGGTTTTCGAAATCTAGTTCGAGGTCTTCGTTTGAAGTCCACACTTTGAAAACGCCAGTTATGACTAACTTCTCAGAAGCTACCATTCCTTGGGTCCCGATCGATTGTAATCTGTTTTTGCCGTGGCAGATAAGGAAAAAAAGAGTTCCCTGCACGTTTCCAGCCGTTCTGGAGAAAGATCTGGCGCTAATGGCGCAAAAAGAACAGGAAGCTAAGGCAAAGAAATCCAAGATGAACAAGAAGAAAGGGAAAAAGAAATATAAAGGAAAAGCAGGGGGATTTACACCTAGAAAACCAAAACCAGAACATGCGGCACAACACTCTAGTGATATGGCTGATCAGGGAAGGAAACCTCAGAACACAAAAAGTCATAAAAAGTTTCATAAACGGTGGCAAAAGGGTCGTAGGTCTGCGTTGTCGGCTAATTTTTATGACACGCAGCCAGTGGAAAAAGAAAGTGAGGTATTTTCAGCTGCAAGAATGGCTTCCGATCCGGTTACCTATGACGATATTGATTTTTGAGGAACAAGAAGACAAATTCCCTTTGTTTTAAAGAATACCCCAGGGCTAGTTGTTTAACAGGAAATTGATAGACTGGACGAGGGTTCCGCGTTTTTAAATTTCCCGTTAATTTTTTGGATCCAAAGGAACTATTCCAATGTCATAATCTAAAGAATGGTAGTGTGAATTCGAACCCATAACGAACAGGGTTCGCATAGTCTTGAAAAGTCCTTGAATTTTAGGGAAAGTCCTTGAAAAGTCCTTGAATTCCACGTTCCTAGAAAAGTCCTTAAATTTCTGTGACAGTCCTCAAAATGACACTAAATTTTCTACGCGAGCGACCAAAGGGAATAATGGTTTATGGTGGGCACTTGCAGTTCAGCTGGTAGGGCCTGGGGCGGATCCATTGTTGCGACATTGTTTCGAATGGTTGCAACCTTGTACCAACATTACAACGCTGTGTTGCGCTGAAACTGAAATCCGGCGTGTAACATTACTTTAAAGGTGATGTTACACGGAACGATTCGCAACGACGATTTTTAGCGCAGCACAGCGTTGCAATGTTGGAACAGTGTTACGACCATTTGAAACAATGTCGTAACAATGTTGCAACGCTGTGTTGCGCTAAAACTCGTTGTTAGCGAATCGTCCCGTGTAACATCGCTTTAAAACTTCCTAATTTCATGTTTTATGGAGACGTTGACACAAGACAACTATTTTCTTTTTCTTTTTGTGAACGTAGATACAGTCCTTTACAATTCAACTCCTGAAAAAATCGCAAACATTTGACAAAATAAAAGAGTTAGAGTAAGAGCGATCAATTTTAAGACAGCGCGAATTCACTTTTTGGGGAACGTTGTCGCTGCCGTTGCCGTGGCCGTTGTTGTCGGAGCTCGCTTCGAGGGAGAGGAACGCGCGCGTGTCTTCTTATCACGCGCGATCGCTCATCTTGCGCCACACATTTCTTATGAGCTGCGACTTCGCGCGCGAATTCGTTATCTTATGACTTGGGTCGAACACAAATAATTTATGATATTGCGCTTAGTATGTTCGTCCAGTTGAACACCAGAACGTAAAACAAGATAAACAATAAGAGTAACGAATGAACACTTTTCAGTTACAATGACATTATTTCACAATGCTTGGCGATTGCTTAGCAATCAGGAAATTTGTTTTTTATTGTAATAGAAATCGCCGGAAAATCGATTAAAGACTATATCCAAAACCTACATCACGTTGCTAGAACGTAAATCCCTCTTAATAACATAATCGCTGAAGGTTATGTTGCCGAATTTACCGACTTCGCTTGAATATTAAGTACTTATCAATGCTTATTTCATCGTTTGCTCTTTGCCGCGTAAAGTTATTGCTATCGTTAACGGCAGTAGTAGTTTAACTACAATTTCTTGTGTTCGTCGCCGATCAAGTTTGGTTTCAAGATGACGTTGTAAAAGATTGTACTACAGAGAAAATTGCAGGTATTGTGAAAGATCTATGTCCTTCAATGCTATGATAGCACAGGTAGCCCAAGCTCGAAATATGAGCATCGGCGAGCATCGGCATTGTTGCGTAACATTCAAAATAATATATAGATTTAGCCAGGGCTAAAAGCGAGGCTCCCATTAGTAAATTTATAATTTACATTAAACAATAAACTCGTATTCGAATTCCACAATTCAGTTAACTTTAGAGCACATTTATGTGACTTTTGAGGGAAAGGCTACCTGATTTTAGAGAAAAATAATTTGCAAACAGCCCAAGAGTGAACCAAATCTTACATCGAGTTGATAGCCTCATATGTACACTCAAAAACTGGTAATCATCTTTTATCACATTTAAGAGCCGTAATGGCTATTGATCACCGTAGATCAATTAGGCTTAGAAAAAAAACCAGGCCAACGTTTTGGCGTTCGACAAGTTTACTTTGCAAAATCTTGCCAACAAATCTGGGTGCGTGTAAACCAACCTTTTATACCATGGACAGAAAGCAGTATTTCACAATACAAATTGCTCTCATTCAATATTCATAAACTGTTAAAAAAATTTTCCAAAATCACCTATACGGCCATCCGGTTCTCACTTTTGTAGTGCGAGCTGTAGCGAGTGTTTGAATGAACATTAACAGAGTTAAGCTCCAAGATAATAAAGAATTTATCATGTTTATTTTTTATTTGATGGTTTAACGCGCGGCATTTTGAGAACTCCTGCAAGCGATGTTCACTGAACGACTGAAAACAATTTGCATAGCGATTAAAATTGCAAGAGAGACTACTAACAATCAATAAAAGAAATATAATTCGGTGAAACATAAACAGAGACAACAATTTTCATTCAGGAAGACAAGTATTAAAGTGTCCCTAAATATCCTGAATCTTCAAGCTTCAAGCTTAAGTTTGCTGAAGTTTATGTTTTAAGCCAGCTTCCCGGTGTTTGTTTTTTCAAAGACGAACTCGAGGCAAGAAAATCGCTCAAAGCTTTCTTTTCCGGCTAGAATTATAACTAAAGATTCTTTGGAACATTTTCTTTCTATTTGCGGTGAGAAACTGTCTAAAGGCTTTTTAAAGTTCTGTAAGATTATATCAAACCAGATACTCGGTGAGATCGTTGTCTCAAATCTTACAAACGCGCATAAACTAAATTCCCGCATAAACTACGCTCCACTTCATTAAATTAGATACAAAAAACAAACATGAAATACAATAATTTCTCTGGCTTACCATTCGAGATGCAGCTCCTGAAAGTTATCAGGTAAAGCCAGTATCGCTTCAGACTTTGCAATCCTCTTACGCATCAAGCAAGGTGAAAACGAAAACGATGCCATCCGAAATCGGATTTCCGACTTTGACAAGCGACGTTTTCTCAACCAAAAACCCAATAAACAAACTAGCCATGAGTAACAGAAGACTCCTGATAGCAGCTAAATTTCATTTTGTACATCCAGTGGAAAAAGACAGTTTAAAAACATCACAAGTTGACGCAAAACTCTGTCAGCTTCAGCTGTTAAAGTAAACAAGATTCAAGATGCTGCATAAATTTTGCGCATGAACTCACCTGTCAAATTTTGACCAATCAGAGCATAAAAATTGGACGTAGAGCGTGACCAACGCGTGACCATTGTGAGAAAAAACAAAAGCAACTGTCTTCCCTGCCTGTAACAGCTGGCTGAATTTTCACGTCCGAGGTCAGTTTGCAATCAAAATTTTAATTGTGCAGCACATAAACACAACATATTTCATATGAATTAAGAAAAAAAATTGAACTTGAGCCTGCGATCACTTGAAAACTAGTTTACTTGTCAGCGGATAACTTCAAAAAATACTTGACCTCCACGGGTCGACACCTGAGCCCGCGATACGGTCAAGTGATACTGGTCAGCGGGTACTCTGTTTTGACAGCTGTCAATTGATCAAAACATTGATGTCCAATATGTGTGCATTATCAGTTTTCCTGTGCTCCCAAACTAGTAAAAGTATGAGATTGAACGTTGTTCGCGATCTAGTAAAACAGTTAACTGGTCAGCGGACAGCTTCCAAATAAATCACGTCACCTCGATGAGTTGACACATGAGCCCGCAATATGGTCATGGGATACTGGTCAGTGGCTATCCTGTTTGGACAGCTGTCAATTGACCATATTGTTAATGTCCTATATTAAAGATGTGGACTTGCCAAGACACGCCTGAGACACCCCTCCCTTCCTTTTGATAGTCTCCCCTACCCCACCCATACAATCTGTAGACGCGTACGTACGTACGTACGCTCGGTCAATCACGTGACAACCAAACGAAAAGAGGTTGACCATATTCCATGGGTATGGGGCTCTGTCCCACGCGCGCTTCGCGCGCGCGGGAGCCCCGCTATAAGGATTTGTATGGGAAAAAAAGCCTATGGTTTCTCTAACCTACGAAAATGAAAGGATTTCAATAAAAAACAGCTTACCTTACTTAAAATGTGTGTTACGTCTCTCCTGTGTGGTCCATGGGCAGATTAATGGCCGTTTTATGTGAACGGTTTCTCCCTATATAGAGAGAAAACCGTTTACATAAAAACCCATAAAACGGCCATAAATCGAACCCTGATCTTTGCGATTACCGGAAGCAAAGCTCTATCCAGCCAACTGGAGAGCGGGCCATTGTGAGTTCGTACAGTACCCGTTGGTGTAGCCTCGTACCCAGGCCAGTTCGCGCTATCTGAGTTCACGGCAGAGAAGGCGAATTGACAGGTGACGTCACATCTGAAATCGCGGGGGACGACTGGGAACGAGGCTGCCGTTGGTGAAAATGACATGAAATGACTCATATTTTGAACTGCAGATAAAGACATTGAAATTGGCTTGATTCGGTTTCACGGATAGAGCGTTTCGCACGGTCATCGCAAAGGTCAGCGTTCGATGTCGGGTCAAACCTGGATTTTTCCAGGTTCTTTTTTAACCGCTTAGGTTGTTTATTCAACTGCGAGAATCATTTCCACTTTCGGTACACATAACATTATTCAATGAGTTCTGATATAACATTATTCATTTTGTCACGGCGTCTTTTTTGAACCGGTCTGCTATCATGATCGGTTTTCCTTATGCCCCCTGTGTAACTAGTCCAAAAACATCTTTTTGTTTTATCTTCTTTGTCCTGTTTCAAATGTCGTGCTACTGCAGCTGTGCCAAACTGGCTTGACTGTAGCGGGACTGTAGCACTACTGGGAGACCCCGTAAAAACTTCAAGTCGCTTTTGTCTTTGCTGTATAAAATGTTTATAGACCTCGTAGCGCCAGTCTTACGAACCTGTTCACTTCCCCTGACTCTGTGATACATAGGACAACCATCAGAGCCGGAAAAATGTCTAGACGACGTTGATCGCCCTTATTTTACTGAACCTGGTCTTTGTAAGTAAGCTGTGCATGGGGACATATCTTCGCGATGGCAGCCTAAAAGTTGTTAACCTCTGCCAAGCTCTCAAATGATAGGGACGTCCCGAAAACAAGCCAAGCGAAAATAGAAGGCGCGTGATCTGAGAAAAGGAGTGGTGG